CTTTCCTGAGGGGGCCGGGGAACTTTGGTTCTGAGGCAGTGTGGCGGGTGAGTGTAACTATCGCCTTTGAACTGTAGACATATGTGGAGACTATCTGCAGCAGGTGTAACGCGCTTCACACTTTAAAATGACTTTTTCACCTGTTTAGCCCAAGATCTTTTATGGTTGGGGAACCGAGACTCAGAGGGGGTGGCGGCAAAACAAGGAAGAGGAAAGAGAATGGGTGAAAAGCCAGCGAATGGAGGCCCGAGAGAGCTGGGGCTGAGGGTGGCGGTCTCTGGGTTCGCCGTCTGCTGTGAACCTGGACAAAGAGGCACACGCAGACTCCAGACACAGAGAGACACACAGGCACCCCTTGACGTCAGTTCCCGACAAGTCCACTAGAGGCCGCCCAGGCACCAGCTTTCGCCTCCCGCAGGACCCGGGCCGCATTAGTTGCCCGCGCTGGTGCCACTTCGGCTCTGCCCGGGAGGCGGCGCCGGTAGCCCGAGGAAGGTCGGAGTGGGCCCAGTGCCTGCGTGTGCCCGTGCCGGAGAGCACCCAGCTGCTTTGCCCGCTCACTGACCCAGACAGCGCTCCCGGCCCGAGATCCCGGGGTCTCAGGCCCAAGAAATGGGCAACAGCCGCACACCACCTGCAGCCGGGCCCGCAAGCTTGGCCCCTGCTCCAAGCCATCTATAGACAGGGGAGAATCCAGCTTTCGTGGACCTCTAACTAGATAAACACATAGTTTGCAAATTTTACAAAAACACAAGAATCATACCAACACGTATGGCTAGGGCTCATTCTGGGTAAGGAACCTTGGTGCTTAAGCGTCAATAAAGTCAGGGTAACTGCACCTCCTGAACCAATGCATAGTCATTTACTGTCTGTCCACTAAGAATGCAGGCCCAAGAGGGCAGGTCCTGTTCCCAGCGCTTCTGGTTGTTTTATAACCATCTGTTGAATGAGCCAGTTGGGGCTGGCCTGGGGCTTGGGGCGTGCATAGGTTTGGGGTGACATCATTGAAACCTCAGAACAGTGCGTGTGACACCCATTTTAAAGCTGGGGCTGCTGAGGTTCCGGGAGGTGAAGCAAGCGCCCAATCAGAAGTGGCACCGGCTCTGCTTTCCCTCGCCCCTTCCTGACCCGCAGCCCCCATCCTCCCCTCCACCGCCCCTTGCACAAGGCTCTGATGCAACCCGGCACCGGCCGGCCCGGGGCACCTCTCTTGGGGGCAGCGCCGGGAAGGAGGTTTTGCAAGAGCTGGGGCAGGCAGGAAGTGTGGCCAGCCAGGGCGGGGCAGGAGATAAGGGCGCCCTGCCCCCTCCCTGCAGTTCCTCCCAGCCCTCTGCCTTCCTCTTCCCGGCCCTTTCCCGGAAGGCAGCGCCCAGATCCTGGCCCCAGCCTCCCCCGGCTCCTGGCCTGCCCCTGTGAGTCACCTCCTTTCACTCTGGCACCCAGGCGGGGATGGATTGGAGGCCCCCCCTGCGGCTGGGGAGCCCGGCTGGCTGTGCCACGCTGGGCAGTGGGGAGCAGGCTCTGGCTGGCCGTTCCGGGGGCTTGCTGAGAATGGATGAAGAACAGTGCTAGGTGGCAGCCCCCTGCGGCCAACGCGGGGTCCACATGCGTCACCATGGCTGCTGTTGCTGTGGGACCCATCCGTGGGCCCTGGGGGCGGGGCATGAGGTGTGTCCAGATGTCAGGGCGGGCAGCGACAGCGCGAGGCAGTTCTTTCCACGGCTTGGTTGGTGTCCACCTGGTGTCACACCTGTGCCAGGCTGCCTGCCTCTCAAGGACCCGGCCCAGGACCTCTGAGAGGTGAGCAGAGCCTGGGCCGGCCCCTTCCATCTTTGAAAATGGAGACGAACCTGGAGGCGGTGGCAGACCTTGTGCTTCCTAGATGTGCCTGCATTAGGCCAGGTCAGGGCTTTCAAACGAAACCGCGGAAAGACCAGAGAGCCTGGCTTTTGAGTGGAACCAAGATGGAACACGGACATCCCGCACAGGAAGCCTGGTTGCTGGAACGGCCTCCAAGTTGGTGTCCCCGCGTGGCCCACAGAGGGTCACCCCACCTTTCTGGTGTCTCCCTTTTCTCATCTAGGGCATGGGGGAGGCGGGTACACACCTGGTGGGACTGTTGAGATACTCCCTAGAGTAAGGCCCCAAAACATTTTACATCCCCATTTACTGGGGTCGGTGCTGTGGCTCACTAGGTTAATCCTCTGCCTGCGGCGCCGGCATCCCATATGGGCGCCGGGTTCTAGTCCCAGCTGTTCCACTTCCAGTCCAGCTCTCTGCTGTGGCCCAGGAGGGCAGTGGAGGATGGCCCAAGAACTTGGGCCCCTGCACCCGCATGGGAGACCAGGAGGAAACACCTGGCTCCTGGCTTTGGATCGGCGCAGCACGGCCGTAGCAGCCATTTGGGGAGTGAACCAATGGAAGGAAGACCTTTCTCTCTCTCACACTGAGAGACTGAGAGACTCTACCTGTCAACAAACAAACAAACATATACTAAGTGTTTGCTCTGAGCCAGTCCTGGAGCTGAGAAACCTTTTATGTGCATTGGGGTCAGGGGACCCTGCAGGCCCGAGTGCTGAACCCATTTTCCAGATGAGAAAAGAGAGGCTCAGAGAGATGAGGTGATGAGCCTCAGGACCCCTTCAGAAACTCTGTCCTACCTGCCTCCCTGCTAAAACGTGAACCTTTTATGATAACTGTATTTTTTAGGATGAACACGTGGTCCCAATGGCCCCCTAAAGGTTATGAATTTTAGAGGAACTGATTTTTGCAAGAGCTGAGTTTGGCGCCTGGCAGGTAACAAGCGCTCTATAAGCTTGTTAACTGAAGAGACAAGGACTTCGGGAAAAGCAGAGTCCAGGGCCAAGAAACTCGTCCCGTGCAGGAGGGGTTAAGTCGTTAATGATTTCCCAAGGAGCAAGGTTTTGTGCGCTGCTCCCCGCGCGCGCGCGCGCGCACACACACACAGGCGCCGGCACACACAGCGGCGGCCTCGGCCCCCTCCCTCGCTCCCTCGCTCCCTCCCTCGGCGAGGCCCGGAGCCTCTTATGCAAGCCGCCGGCGCCCTCCGTTCCCAGGCCCGGCTGCAGCTGCGGGCGGAGGGGCAGGGCGGGGGCGGCGCGCTGTTTGTCTAGCGCGGCCGTGCCAAAGACCGCGGGCCCCAGACAGCCAGGCGCCTCCGTACACCTGGGGATGCTCAGGTTAAATAGCTCCGCATTCCTCGGGCCCAGCTGATGGAAACGCTCCCAGGCCGCCGCCGAGCCGGCCTCCAGATGGGCTGGGCCCGGGCCAAAGGGGAAAAGAGGGAAACGTGGAATCCAGAGTGCGACTGAGTGGGGCGGGGGAGGCGGCCCGGGCCCGCCGCAGCCCCTTCCTCGCCGGGAAGGCGGCCGTGCCCCGGAGGAGTGCGCGCGGGGAGCCCGGCCGCGGCCCCGTGGGTGGGCTTGCGGGCGCGGGGGGGGGGCCCACGTGGGAGGGAGTGGGTGCGCACGTGTGCCTCCGAGGACACTCCAAGGACACGCAGGCTGCAATTAATAATGAGAATGTATAACTGTGTCACACTACGTGCCAGGCACTGCGCGGGGTGCGGCCCTGAATTTTTATTTCATTGACCATTTTGAGGTTAGCCCTAGCAAGCAGCCGCCCGGTGAGGGGCGGGGTGGGGGGCGAGGACGAGGGCATAATTTACCTACCTGTCGTGTGTTTGGTGCAATCTAGAACATGCTTGAGCGGGCTGGTGCCTGGCTTCGTGTTGATGGGGGGCACTGACCATTAATCGTGACTATTAATTTGAGAGGGGGGAGTTCCTCTCTGAGCTCCTCTCCCGTTACAGAACCTGGGACCAGAATCCCCCTGTGGCCAAATCCTCGGGCTGCCGGCCCAGGGGCTGCTTCTTGCCGCCCCCCCCCCCTTTGCCTCATTGAGCAGGCGCTTTCATAGCCCACTCCCCAGCGAGGGGACTCGGTGTCTCCACGTGTAATTCGTGGGCTTGGCGGGAAGGTGTGCCCTGGGCCTCCTTGCTGCTCCGAAAATTGCTCCTCCCACCAGATATCTGCAGAGGACCCCCAAGGGGGGGCATTCACCTCCAGAAAAGTCACAGAACCCCCCCCCCCACCACCACCCAGATGCCTGCACTGCACTTAGGGCAGCGCTCGTCCCAGCAATTGGGAGGCACTTATCTGCAGGACACATGTGCCTGCTCACATTCACCCTCCCGCCTACAGCCCCCAGCCTGGACGCGAGCAGAAGATCGGGGAGTGTCCGGTTCACTCCTGCCCCACATACAGGCCCCAGGAGCACAAGCACACGCGCGCAGGGCCAGGGCACCTTTCTCCTGCTCAGAAGCCGCCGGGGGCAGGACTCGCCCACTCCTCTCCGGGCCCACACAGGCGCCCCAGGGCAGAGGCGGTTCAGTGAGCTGCTGGCAGAGCCCGGCCAGGGTGAGGCGGCTGGGTGCAGACCCAAAGCAGGTGGCCCAGCAGCTGTGCCCAGCCGGGCCCTGCCAACTTGCTCACCCACTTGGACAAGCTGGGAGCCGCAGGGCAGCCTGCTGCGAGAGCAACCTCTTTCTGGGGAACTGGGGACAGAGAGGGCTCTGGGCCCCACCTGGTGGGGGGAGGCGGGAGGCCCGCAACCTGGTTCTCCCACTTCAACGGCTTCACTGCTCCCCCACCCCGGAGGGGGCCCCCAGCAGGTTCATCTGCATTTTAACAGCCTCCCCAGGTGATCCAGATGGCCCGGACCACTCTGAGAGCGAGCCCAGCGTGTAGAGGATTTAATTTTATGACACTAGGGAGCAGGGAAATGGCCAAGGATGGGGGGAAAGAAAAGACTTTAAAGACACCGGAAACACTCATTCAGGTCGCTAAGAGCCACAGTCCAGATGTGGCCCTGCAGGCCCCCTCCTCCCAGCACCAGCTGCAGCAAGGGTCAGAGTTCAACCCCCGGCTCCAGCCCCTCCCCTCCCCTCCCCGCCATGAGAGAAGTCACTGCAACTTCACCACCATCTAAAGTATTTGTTTAATAACAAAAAAGAAAACACCCCCCACAGAACTATTGTAAAACAATATTCTCAGCCGGTGATCATTGTAATATACAATACAAAGCAATTTCCTCAGAAATCTGAGAAGCACCAAACGTGACCATTTTTTAAAATGTCCGCTTTTCAAAAAATAGAAACACACGGGGGAATGCCACCCCCCAAAGTCTCTGGTGGCTGGTAGGCGTGGAGAGAGGGTCGGCCCCTCCACCGCGGGCCCCCGGCCCCGGGCCGGACTCGGCAGGGGCCCGAGGGCCGTAGATCTGTCTGGTTTCTCCCGGGTCTTGCGACACTGGGGGTACCCGGGAGCGCTGACTCGTGCTGCCCCCCGGAGCGCCGGGGTCCGCCAGCGCCTGGGGGTGGCGTTTCAGCGACACAAGATGCGATCATCCGCGGGAACACACGCCGCCTGTGAAAACGAGCCAGAGGTGAGACGGAGGGCTGCACAGGGGGGCAGGTGCAGCAGGCGCAGCCCACCCGCCGCCTCCCCAGGAGACACTTTCCCGGTGTCCTTGGGCATCCCTGCCCCGCCAGGTGCCCCAAAGCATGGAGCGGACGCGGTGCAGCCCCCGACCCCGACCCAGCCCCGACGGTAGCCCAGTGCTCACCTCGGCCGTCAGGGCGCTGATCTCGCCGTTGAGGGTGCTTAGCGGAGCCCGCACGGGCAGCCCCCGGCCCCCTGGGGTTCCGACCTCAGCCTCGGAGTTCAGCTCCAACTGCAGGTCCCTGATGTAGTCGATCACGTGCTGCAGGATCTCCACCTTGCTCACCTTGCGGTTCTGGGGCAGGGTGGGCACGAGCTCCTTGAGGCGCGAGTAGCAGCCGTTCATGTCGTAGAGCAACACGTTCACCTGCTGCTCGTCCAGCAGGGCGGGCAGGCGCGTCCCGCCGCCGCCCGCGCAGCGCGAGATGGCCACGCTCTGCTCGGAGAGGCAGCGCACCACCTCGCCCGCGCCGCCCGCCGCCTTGCCGGCCTTCAGCGCGCAGCTGGGGCCCGCGGCGGCCGCGGCGCTGCCACTGGCGACCTTCATGGTTCTGGCGACCGGCTGGGAGAGAGTGCCGAAGGCGACGAGGAGGCGAGTGCCGGGCTTGCAAGCGAGCTCAAAGCGCGCAGGAGACGGTTGTAGAATGCGAGAACGCCGCGCCACCCTCGCGCTTTTATAGAGACGCCACGTGCCCCCCCCGAGGGGCGGGGTCAGAACGTTCAAAAGCAGCCAATGGGGGTATGGGGGCGTGACCTCGGCCTCCTGGGTCCCTCCTCCTGCTCCGGGGGCGCACCCGCCAGTGGGTGGAACGACCGCCCAGGTCTCGGGAACGGGCAGGGCGCGAGGGCACCGGCCAGGGCGGCGTGTGGCGGTGGGCACTGCCTTGGGCTCCTCAGGAAGGAGGCGAGAGCGGTACTGCCGATGATTGAAAGGCCTCAGGAGCCATTTTCCTATGTTCACGCTCTCACCTCTCGGTTCCATTCTACAGATGAGGTAAACTGAGGCCCGGACGGAGACGTGGTGGCCTCTGGGTCTCCCAGAGAGCCCAGGGCTGGCCCCCGCGTTTCCGGCCTCTCTCGGACCTCCAGGAACCGGGGCCGAAACTGAAGGCGAGCTGACCTTTACACCCTGCTCCCGGGGCTGGTCGCCGGGGAACGCAGTTGTGGTTGCTCCTGGGGCCCGGAGGGCCCACCCAGATCCCTGCAGGGTTAGGGGCTGGGTCTCTGGGCCCCGAACTACGCAGAAGGCGCACAGAGGACTCTACCCCGCGTGTGCAGCCCTGCCTGCAGGCATCTGCAGCAGCTAGTGACTTAGTTTTTCTCCCTTTTTTGGCTGGGTTCTTATTCCCCTCGAAGACCTCGAGCGGGGTCTCCCTCCCACGGCGCGGCAGCTGCGGCGCTCCAGCCGCCCCCCTCTCTCCCGGGCTGGGCTGTGTCAGCGTCTGAACAAGCGGCTCAGACCGTTAGACGCCAGGCTCGTGACGTCACCCATTCATAAAACCGGGACGGGCTGTCAGGCTGGCGCCGCGCGGGCGGTAGCCATGGAGACGGCAAACCGGGCGGGAGCGTCCGCGCGCTCCCCCCGCCGTCACCTGCAGACCCCGGGCGGGAGGCCTGGGAATGCGGCGCTCGCGGGCGCGGGTGCCGGGCAGGGGTCGCCGTACCTCGCGGCCCCACACCTGCGAGGCCCCCTGCCCAGCCCCGCAGCTTGGGAGGGTCCCCCCCCCGCCCGCCCCAATCTCTTTAGGGGAAAGAGGCCCGAGTTCCAATTGCAGTTCTGCGAGTCGTGCCTGCTCCGAGAGCCCCGGGTGCTTCACGTTCTGGTATTTCGAGAGCGGGCAGCACCCCCATTCTCGCCTCCCGACAGGCACGGTGGGAAGCCTTTGCCTTCGGGTTTTCGGCGATTCTCTCCGCGCGTCCGGCGAGCGGAGCCGTGCAGAACCGAGGCTTAGGAAGTCTGCAGGAGTCGCAGCTGATGCACAAGGCTCGTTATGGCAATGCAGCTCCTTCCTTCTGAGAGCCCCGGGCGGGCGTGCCACCAGCGGGGAAGCTGAGGCCTGAGCAGGGACAAAGTGCTGCCTGCATAGGAGACTGGCATGATGGCTCCTCCGCTGCCTATGGCCAGGCTCTCTTGTTCCGGGAAGTTAGGGAGCGGGAACCCTAAGCGTGTCCACTACCTCCCCAAAAGGAGACCAGGCCCCCCGGGGGCCGGCCTCGTGGCACAGCGGGTTACACCGCCGCCTGCAGTGCCGGCATTGCCCACGGGCCTGGGTTTCAGTCCCAGCTGCTCCACTTCCGACCCAGCTCTTTGCTGATGCTCCTGGGAAAGCAGGGGGAAATGGTGGTGGTACTGGGGTCCCCTGCCACCCACGCAGGACACCCCGATGGGGTTCTAGGCTCCTGGCTTCGCTGGGCTGTTGAGGCCATTTGTGGAATGAACCAACAGATGAAAGATCTCTATATCTCTCCCTCTGTTTCTCTAACTCCGCCTTTCAAATAAACACAAATAAAATAAATCTTAAAAAAGGAGAGCAGCCGCAAAGGACTGGTAGACACATCAGTAATTAATTACCCATCCCCTTACCACACCCCCCCACCATGTGCCCCAGACTCCCCAGGGCCCTGTGTGCCAATCCTCCCACGATGGGAGAAGAAAAAAATTGCTGGAGAGTGGAGGGGACACGGTCAGCGGAGGACACGCGGGTATTAATTCATCACCGAGTGTTTGTGAGTGGACCCAGCAATTCTGTTCGTGGCAAGTCAGCCCCAGAGATACCTACACAGACAGGCGCGCGATGCCCATTGTGTGCTGGTTGCAAGAGCGGAAGCTGAGATGACCTAAATGTCCATCAAGTGTAGTGTTATATGAACCAGGACTGGCACATCAGCGCTGCAGACTGGCTCTGAGATATGGACATCTCATTAGGAGAGAAAGCAAGGGACAGACTGAGGGGTCCCAGACCCGGTGTACGGAAAACAGCAGAGGCGCTGCTCCTAAGGATGAGGGTCTGGAAACGGAATGAGAAGCAAGAGCGCAGAACTCAAACAGTCCGGTGTGGTTTCTCTGACACGCAGTCCGAGAACAGGCACAGCTGATCTGCAGTGGAAGTTAGCAGGATGGTGGTGGTCTCTGGGAGTGGGGTGTGGGGAGGTGCCAGGGGCGGGGTGCAGGGGACTTTCTGGAGGGAGGGAAACGTTCCCTGTCATGATGCGGTGTGCCTGCAGGTGGATGAGCTGGTCAGAACATACGCCTGCATGCTCTTCACTGTGTTTTTAAATTGCACCTCAAAGAAACATTGGCAAGCTGCGGTGGGAGGGTGGGGGGAGGGAGAAAGAAAACATAAACCCTGACTTATTAATAGGGTTGCCGCTGTAGAGAGTGATGGAGGGCAGCAGGGAAAGCCACCGTGTATGAGAGCAGGTTCTAACCCCAGCTGCTCCTCTTCCAATTCTGCTTCCTGCTAACGCACCCAGGGAGACAGCAGATGACTAAAGTGCTCCAGCTCCTGCCACCCACATGGGAGACCTCATGGAGTTTTGGGTCTCTGACATGTGGGGAGTGAACCAGCAGGTCAAAGATCTGTCAATCTCTGTGTCTCTTGTTCTCTTTCTAGTACTCTACCTCTCAAGTAGGTGAAATGAATTAAAAAAAAAAAAAGTGGGCAGGGGAAAGGAGTGATGTAAGTAAGAATTCCACTTTTATCTTCACATAGGTATTTCATTCTTTAAGATTTATTTATAGGAGCCAGCGCTGTGGTACAATGGGTTAAAGCCCTAGCCTGAAGCGCAGGCATCTCATATGGACGCCAGTTCTAGTCCCAGCTGCTCCACTTCCAATCCAGCTCTCCGCTGTGGCCTGGGAAAGCAGTAGAGGATGGCCCAAGTCCTTGGGCCCCTGCACCAGTGTGGAAGACCCAGAAGAAGCTCCTGGCTCCTGGCTTCAGATCAGCGCAGCTCCAGCCGTTGTGGCTATCTGGGGAGTGAACCAGCAGATGGAAGACTTCTCTCTCTGTCTCTACCCCTCTCTGTAACTCTTTCAAATAAATAAAATAAATCTTTAAAAAAAGATTTATGTATTTGAAATGCAAAGCAACAAAGAGAAAGAGGGAGAGAGGGAGACTGAGAAAGATGGGTCAGTCCCTAAGTGCCTGCCCCAGGTGGGGTTGAGCTGAAGCCAGGAGCCCAGCATCCCACCCAGGTCTCACATGATGACCATCACCTGCTGCCTCTTGGGGTAGACATCAGCAGGAAGTTGACCCGAAGCAGAGCTGGGGCTGCAACCGAGGCAGGAAATGGGAAGCAGGCACCCCAAGCAGGGTCTTAACCCCTGTGCCAGATGCCTGCCCCTTAACAATTTTATTGACACGTAAGTGACAAGCAAAAACTATACAACTCTAAGATAAAAAAAATTTAAAAAGATTTATTTGGAAGGCAGAGGAAGCAAGCGAGACAGATGGAGGGAGAGAAAGAGAGCTTCTATCTGCTGGTTCTCTCTCCATATAATCACAACAGGCAGGGTTGGGCCAGGTTGAAGCCAGAAGCCAGCAACTTCATTTTGCTCTCGCACATGGGTGGCAGGGGCCTAAGCACTTGGGTTGTCACCTTTGCCTTCCCAGGCACATCAGCAGGAAGCTGGATCAAAAGCAGAGCAGCTGGGGTGTGAACCAGGGCTGTGATACGGCATGCTGGAGATGCGTGTGGTGGCTTAACCTGCTACACACCACCTGCCCCAGTATGTACTTAACTTTTTTTTATGGCTATTTGAATCAGCATCGTTATTTCCAGATTCATTCTTGCTTATTCATTTTTAGTGGTAAGTAGTATTCCATCGTGTGGCTATTCCACACATTGCTTCTCCATTCACCTATTGAGGCACATTTGGAGCCTTCGCAGCTTTAGGTTAGAACAAATGAAGCTGTCCAAGCGTCCGGTGTGCAGGTGCTTCTGTGAGCCTGGGCTTGCATTGCTCTCAGATAAAGATTTATTAGTGGAGTGACCAGTCACATGGTAGGTATTTTTTTTAAAAAGACTTATTTGAAAGGCAGAGAGAGACTGATCTTTCACCCACTGGTTCACTCTACAAATGGCCACAACAGCAAGGCGTGGGCCAGGCTGAAGCCAGGAACCTGGAACTCTGTCTCAATCTCCCACGCGGGTGCAGGGGCCCAAGCACTTGGGCCATCTTCCACTGCTTTCCCAGGCCACAGCAGAGAGCTGGATAAGAAGTGAAGCAGCTGGACTTCAAGATGGCTTTGTTGCAAGCAATGGCTTAGCCCACTGCGCCACAACGCCGGCCCTGGCCATTGTGGCCATTTGGGGGGTAAACCAGCAAATGGAAGATCGTCGGTCTGTCTGTGTCTCGTACTTTCAAATAAACAAATCTAAAAGAATGATAGAAGGAGAATGAGGAGAAGGAGAAGAAGAAGTAATACAGAGGGCTAGCGCTGTGGTGCCGTGAGTTACGCTGCGCCTTGTCACGCCAGCATCCCACATCAGAGTGGGCTGCGCGGCTCCCTATCCAGCTTCCTGCTGATGTGCCTGGGGAGACAGCAAGTGATGGCCAAGGTGCTTCTGTCCCTGCCACGCATGCGGGAGATGGAGTTCCATGCTCCTGGCTCTAACCTGACCCAGGCCTGGTTGTTACAGCTGTCTGGGGCATGGACCAGCAGATGGAAGAGCTGTCTCTCCCTCTCTGTCACTTTGCCTTTCAAATAAATAATTTAAAAATCTCTTTTTAAAAAGTGCTGATACTTCTGCCTGCCGAGGTTACCGTGAGGGGTCACAGAGCTCGGCCTGGCATAGTAGGTGCTAGTAAATGGGGGGAGCCTCTTCAGCGCCAGGCCGGGCCCCTGGCACCCCGTGGGCTGCAGCTGTGCCTCCAGGGGTTCACAGTGAGCCCGTGAGCCAGGCTTACAGACCCCATGAAAGGCCCCCTTCACTGAGCTCCCCTCAAACTCCTGGTCCTGCCCCGATCCATCCCTGGCCTGCGGGGAGACGCTGGCATCCCTTTCAGTCCCACAGCAACGAATCCGCGGCACTCCCGGCCCTGGCTTTTCTCTCTTGCATTTTGAAGGCCTGACAAGGAGTTTAAATAAAGACTTTCTGTTTATCTCCCTGCCACACGGATGGTTTTCCCCGCCCTCTCGCTGGTAGCGGGAGTCCAGCGTGCACTGTCCCCGGAGTCCTGCCTACCGAGGTCACCTGGGGAAAACAGGTTCCCTTCTGCTGGTGCCGCCAAGCTTGGGTTCCTGCGCAGGGTCTCCTAGAAGACCAGGGCCCGGAGGGGAAGAGGGCCCAGCCGTTGGCGTTTCAAATCCTGGCTGTACCCACGGCAGGCTGCGCCTCAGTTTCCTTGCGTGTGAGCCAGAGCTCAGGTTGCGGGATTGTGTGGGAGCTGAGTGCAGCACCTGGTGAGGGGGCGGGGACGCCCCGTCACTGCGATTGATCCCTGGTCGCCACTCCTCCCTTTCTGCTTTCCACGGCCTCTCCGCTCACTCAGCGCTCACTCAGCGGCAGACGCTGTGCCTAGTGTCCGCTAAGCTCTGCAGCGCAGGGATCACAGGAACCGGGTTCGGTGCCAGGATCCTGAGCCCGTCGCCCTGCCTGGCACCCGGGGGGCGCTCCATGAGTATTCGCGGCATGAGAAGCGGGCAGCCCGCGGACCACGCGCTAAAAGCCCCTGCCCTTTACAGCCGAGGCGCTGGGGTCCACGGAGCCCGAATGACTTGCTTCCCATCCCGCTGTGCGGAGGGTGGCGCTGGAACCTGAACCCTGAACCCGGGCGGCCAGGACACCGAGGCGCTGCGCGAGGCGGGCGAGAGCTGGTGCGCATGCGTGTCCACACGGCCCAGCGCGTCCTTGGTGACGCGCGTCCACGGCCAGCGCGCTTCCCACTGCCCCTCAGGGGACTCCTGGCCTTCCAGCTGGGGGGCGGGCCTGCCCGGCGCCACGTGACCCGCGCTGGCCCTGGCTCGGCAGCTGCTCCCCAGATGTGCCCACAGAGCAGTCTCCGCCGCCAGGCCGGCGCCTCTGGGCTGGGGCGGCCCGAGCTGCGGGGGAGAGACCTTTGGCTCCGGCCGTCCCCGCCCCCACCCCCGTGACGGGAGACCGCAGGCCTCCCCGCTTCCAGAACCCTGAGTCCAGCCCGCTCTGGGGTTTTGCCCGTCACGCTGCGGGTACGCTCCGGACGCGGCCCCCGGCCCCCGGCTCGCGGCGCCTGCCCACCGCCGCCTACCGCCGCGCAGGCCCCTCCCGGGTCCGGCTCAGCCCTGCCTCAGGGCCTTTGCTCTTACTGGTCCCGATGCGCAGACCCTCGCCCGCCGACCACACTTCCCACTCTCCAAGCCTCAGGTCAAACGCTCCCGCCCAGAGGCCTTCTCAGCCCCCTGGCCTCCGTGCGTTCACCTTGCCCTGGTCTTGAGTATGCGCTAGATGTGTTCCCGATGCAGGGCTCCCGCTCTGCCCCTCTCCACTCCCCGGCCCTGAGCAGAACCTTCTGAGAGGCTCCGTTGTTTGGTGCACTGGCGCCGGGGCCAGAGAAAGCAAGCAAGTTGCTCGAGGTCACACAGCATGGCCTTGGAAGCGCGGAGTATTTAGAGGTCTGGCCTCGTGGTCCTCAGTTTCTCCATGTGTGAAATGGGTGCAAAATTTGAAGTACTCTGTCCCCCACCCTCACCCCGCCCCGCCGCGAGTTCTGACTGTGCCTAGGACACAGACAGCACTGGGAACTGGGCACGGCAGAGTGGACGGCTCCGCGCCCCTGCAGCGTCTCACTTTTCCATCCTCCAAAGGCAGCAGGAGGCTGTAGCTGGGCGCAGAAGGGGTGTCAGGGCTCCAGGCTCTCTGCCAAGTCCCCTTCCCCCAGTCTGGGTCTCACTTTCCCCATCTGCAAAATGGGGCCTGTTGCTGGCCCTTCACCCCGAGAACTCTGCGCTGGGCTCCAGGGTCATTATTTCAGGGAGTGGCAGAGTCCAGGCCTCCGTCCACCTTTCGCCTCCCATCCTGTTTTGCAAAGAGGCCCCAGAACAATGGACGGGAGGCTGGAGCCTGGCAGTCTGGGCCCCTCCCCGGGTCCCCTGCAGATGGAGGGGGTGGGGCCTTCCTGCGGACAAAGGGCCACTGCGGCCAGAGGGAGGGGCAGAGCCCAGCCCAGGGAGCCCCCATCTTCGGGCACTCCGCACGGGGCCAGACCTGAGGGCTGCACATGCGCAGTGCTGCACTCTCCCACAGAGCCGCCATGCAACACACAGAACTGCACAGCAACACATCGCACGCGCGTACAGGCGCCGCACCAGTCAACACACACAGCCAGCAGAGCCGCCTGCCCAGCTGCCCACCACAAAATCTACCCTCCTCTACACTGCAAACAGCAACTTCAACACACAAACCCAACGCTCAGCTGCACAACCGACACAGGCCCCCCCCTTCCACAAAAGCAGGCTGACCAGGCCACACATCAGGACGCCCGGCCGTCACACCCGAGAGAACTCCACTCAGCCCCCCAACAACGGCTGTGCATAGCTGCACACAGCCTACACCGCAACACCACACACCCGTGTGCTCCCCTGACAGCAGCAGCCACACCGAGATGCGGCCGCCGCGTGTGCCCCCAGCCTTAGAAAAAGAACCCAAGGCCAAAGCATATCGCAACTTCCTCCTGGCACCCACCCATCTGGCCTCCCACACCCCTGAGGTCTTATTAGATGTAGACAAACCCCTTACCCTCAACACACACACACACGATTCAGAATCCTGCGTCAGCTCCACAGACACACAACCATGCCTGCCCAGACCCCAGGTGTCTCACGCCCACCAATGCAGGCCTGGGCCCTGCCCAGGGTGGAGGTGTGAGAGCCGCTCTGACCCTGGCAGCCACAGAGGTTGGTGCTACCAGCCAGGCCTGCCCCAGGCTTGCTGGCCCCACCCCAGGCAAGGCCCAGTAGAGGCCACTGCCCCCAGTTGTAAGGCAAGAGCCGGATGACTGGGGGGGGGAGTGGGGGCCTCGGTGCTCCCCCTCCAGCATTTGGCCTGGCCTTTCCTTGACTCACCTGCTCCCTGACACCTGGCTCTCCCTCATCCACGCCCCATGCTCCAGGGCCCAGAACGCAGGCGCCAGGTGAGACTGAATCTCCCAGGACCCCACCCAGCTCCCTGCCCACCCCGGGGAGCCTGGGGCAATCCCCGCCCGCCCTGCTCAGCCCCACCTCAGCACCAGAACCCCAGGGCTGGCACCTCCAGCTGCTCCCTGACTCAGGCCACCAGCAGAGCCAGCCTCCTCACCTACGGTGACTCAGGACAAGGTCTTCCTGAGTCGTCCTTTAAAAAAATATTACTAGGATGATTTTGCTGGGGGCAGAAAGCAGTGTGCTGGCCGACAGGAAGTGAAGTGTGCTTGGGAACAGAGCAGGGAGGGCTGTGGGAGACCAGAGCCCCGGCTCCCCGCCCCTTCCCAGCCCTGACAGTGGGGGAAGGGAAGGAGCTCCCATCCCTGTGTCCCTGTGAACCTTCAAGGCTGTCACTCAGAGCTTGGAGCAGGGCTGAGGGGGTCAGCACTCTAGATGCCGGTTACTGTTCAACAGTGGCCGCTCTGCCTCCCCGGAGGTAACCCTGGTTCAGTGCTTGGGTCTCGGCCCCAAGCGATGGAGCCTTACCATCCTCAGGTGGCAGCCATGCCAAAGGCAGGCACCGGGCGCTTGCTCTTGGCTGGAGTCACCATACGCGGGAATAAACGCCACCTGCCAGGAGGCTGGCTCCTGGCTGCTGTAGCCATGCGCTGGGGACACAGAGGTGCTGTCCATAGGGGCTGTCCCAAGGGGCTCTGACTCCAAGGAGTATGTTCACAAGAGCATGCTTTGTAGCGTCTCTCTGCTCCTGACAGCCTATTGAGTGGCGCTGCACCTGTGGACCCTGTGAGGCGGCACGGGCCGGCCAATTTTTGAGTGCTCTGATGGAGAAGCTGTGGGAGGCATGTCCCAGGAGAGACTGCCCGTCAGCTAGGGGAGGTCAAGGAGGCCTTCCTGCAGGAGGAGGTCACTTCCCAGCCGAGACGGGAAACCGTGAGGAAGGCTGAGGCAGATGCGGCCGAAGCCCAGTATTTGCACACCTGGAAGATCTGCAGGTGACAACCAACACATCACCTTGTAAACGACTAAAGTCTGATAATATAAAATGTCGGTGAGAATGTGGGAAAATACAAACCGGCACGCACCGCGGGTGGGTGTGCAAACTGGTCTGATCACCTGGGAACTCCATGTGGCAATGCCAACGCCGAGTACAAGCGAACATCTGAACACCCTGTGACCCAGCCGCTCCGCCCACGCACGCACGCAGCCGGTGCTGGCAAGAATGCGCATGCGCAGCACCTGCTGTCCCGGCACCCAACGGAATGCCACCGACGCGGAGGTCAGAGGATGAGGGCCTAGTATGCAGCACTGAACAGGTAGGAGGCAGACCTGTGTGCCTTATGCTGGCTACACCCACAGATGGGAGCATGCTCAGGGAAAATGCTAAGGGCTGATCCATTTATGGACCTAAAAGTGTAGAGACCTGGCCGGGAAGAAAACCTGCCAGTCATGATGTTGATCAGGGAGGGGTGGGCAGATGGTCTTGGAGGGCAGGTAGGGGGTCTGGCTGGGACAGGAGCACTTCTGCACAGCGTCATTCTTAAAGGCGCAGGAAGGGAGCGAGCAGAGCGCACTGCACAGTGCGCAGCTGCGGCTGGAGGGAACAGGGTGCTAGTAACAGTAATAGGATGCTAGGAGTGCGGTGATTTTTGCATCTTCCAGAAATGAGAGGGAGGCAGACAGGGAGGCCCAGGGCATTCCAGGAAGAGGCGCGCGGGGGTCTGCGTTCGAGGTGAAGGGGGCACGCAGGGGAGCCCCCAGTGTTCAGCGTGGGAGGGAGCGGAGGGGTGCGGGCGACCTGCAGGCTGGCACCCGGACCTGCCGGGTCGAGGCGGGAAGGAGCGCCCGGCTTTGCCCGGACTTTGTTCCGGGCGCGCACCCGCCCGAAAGGCGTTCCTGGGCACGGAGGCCCGCCCCTGGGGGCCGCCTGGCCGCAGCGCCCGCCGCGCCGGACAACCGCCCGCGGCAGATGGGCGCGCTCGGCCCGTGGGAACGGGCTGGGCGGGCGCGGGCGGGGGCGCCGGGAACCGCCCCGGGGGAGCGGCGCGCAGATGGGGCGGGGGCCGGGGGCGGCGGCAGATGGGTGCGAGGCCGGCCCAGGGCCGCGCGACAAAGGCGGAGGGCAGATGTTCGCGGCCAGATGTTCGCTTTCCCGCCGCCCTCCTCCGCGGCTGCGCTGGGCGGGCCGCCCGGCGCCACTGGGAAGCGGGGAGCCAGGTTAGGTCCGAGGGCTTCTCAGGTGCGGGCGTTTTACCTCCAGCCGCCCCCACCGCACCAGCCTTTCCCACCCTGTAGCTGGAAAGTACTAGAACACCTCTCCGGAATCCGGTCAGAGCGCTCCCTGGGACTGCCTGCCACACCCCCCGAGTGGCAGCTCCGAGGCCGCCGGTGGAGGGGCCGGGTCACACCCTGTCTGCCGCAGCAGTACCGGCTGCTGCTGGTTAAGCACTTAGCCAAGGCTCTCAACCATTACCTGGCTCAGCCTCACTGCCGCCCTGTGCACAGGTGCAGTTAGGGGACTGTGACCACAGAGCTCCTGAATGATGACTCGTCCAAGGTCACAGCAAGTGCCAGGAGCTGGGGGTGCGGCATCTCAAAGCCGGCACCTCACTTCCTTTAGCTTCCCGTGTGCTCAGTGCTTTACAAACCTATTTTTTTTTCTGGAAAAAAAAACGTTATTTTGGGGCTGTTGTGGTGCAGCAAGTTCAGAAACTGCCTTAATACAGGCATTCCATTTGAGCACCTGTTAGAGTCCTGGCTGCTCCGTGTCTGATCCAGCTCCCTGCTAATGCGCCAGGGAAAGCAGTGGAAGATGGCCCAAGTCCTTGGGCTCCTGCCACCCTGGTGGTGACCAGGATTGAGTTCCTGGCTTCTGGCTTCAGCCTGGACCAGCCCTGGTTGTTGGAGCTGTTTGGGGAGTGAAACAGCAGATGGGAGATCTCTTTCTCTCTAATTCCCTTTCAAGTAAATAAGAGAGAAAAGACACAGAGAATACTGTGGATAGAGTCCCCAAATGCCTGCATCAGCCAGGGCTAGGCCAGGTCCAGGCCAGGAGCTGAGAACTCAGTCTGGGTCTCCCCTACGAGGGGCAGGAACCTGACAACTTCCCAGGGTGCTCATCAACAGGAAGCTGGAATTTGGACTTGAACTTGGGTGCTCTTCCTGATGTGTGATGGAGGCATCTAAACTGTTATGTCAAATGCTTACCCCTTTCCCTTTTTTTTTTTTTTTAATTCACAAACATCTTGGAGCACCCACTGGGGTCCTATACTGAACAGACTGGACTGAAGTCTCGGTCCTGTGGAGTTTTTACTGGGCAGGGTGCAACAGGATAAGTGTAATGTGTGTTATATCACCTGGGGACAAGTATGACAGAGAAAAGTAAGTGGCGCAAATCGGAGGACATGGGAGGCTGGGGTGGTCTTACATGGGAGGGGCAACCAGCAAAGGACTCCCCAAGAAGGAATCTCAGTAAAGAACTTAGTCCAGGGCCATTGTTGTGGCGTACTGGGTTAAGTCGCAACCTGCAACATCAGCATTCCTTATGGGCACCAGTTCCAAGTCCTGGCTGCTCCACTTCCGATCCAGCTCCCTGCTAATGCACCTGGGAAAGCAGCGGAAGATGGCCCAGGTGCTTGGGCCCCTGCACCCACATGGGAGACCCAGATGAAGCTCCTGGCCCAGCCCCAGCCCCGCCCACTGGGGGGTCATTTGAGGAGTGAACCAGAGGATGGAAGATCTCTCTATCTCTGCCATTCAAATTAGCACATCTTAAAACAGAAACAGAAACAAAAAAGAACTTAGTCCCTTGCTACCCTTGACTATTTAGGGAAAAACAAAGCAAAACAAAACACTGCAGGTGCAAGTCCCAGCCCATGCCAAGTCCAGATGCAGAGGTGTGCCCAGCATGGTGTGGTGACAAGGCCATTGTGACTAGCCGAGTGAGAGGTGGGGGTAGGCAGGGTGGCTCCTGTCCTGCAACCCCAGGTAGGTCCTGGGGAGGACTCTGGGGAAGACGTGAGCCCCAGGGGGGTTGGAGTTGAGGACCGTGGCCGCCTGGGTGGTGCAGAATCACCACAACCCTGCGCAGCTGCCCCTGGGGGCCTGGTGTTTCTCCATTTCAGGATGACAGCAGTTGGTGCAGATCAGGGTTTCTAAAGGCTCCCGGGTGGGCCTCAGCACTGTGTGAATCTGATGTGCATTTCTGGGAAGGAGATGCAGGGCTTCTGACACTGCCAGAGGGGTCAGGAGGGCCGTCCCCAGGGCTCCCGCAGCTGCGCTCCTCGGAGCAACCGCTTGGAAAGGACCTAACTGCCCTGGAAGGAGAATGGCTGAGTAAACTGTGAAATACCATGTGGCCCTGGGAAATCATGAGACAGCACTTCCTCTTGCAGGAATTTATCCTAAGGATATTCTCAAATGTGTGAAATGATGTAGGTACAGGAAGAGCGGCCAGCTGGAAAAGTCCCGCGCGTCCATCACCAGGGGACTGGCTGCACAAAGGGAGCAGGAGGCTCCTGCCATCCTTTTTGTCTTTTTCTTTTTTAACCAATTAATGACTTTGAAAGGCAAAGTGACAGAGAGGGACACACACACACACACACACACACACACACACACGGGGAGAGGGAGGGAGGGAGGGAGAGGAGGGGGAGAGAGGGAGATTGTTTTATCCATTGGTTCACTCCCCAAATGGCCAGCAGTAGTCAGGGCTAGCCCAGGCTCATGCCAGGAACCTGGAACTTCATCAGGGTTTCCTGTGTGGGTGGCAGGGACTCAAGGACTGAAGCCATCACCGGCTGCCTCCCAGGCGCATCAGCAGGAAGCTGCGGTGGAAGTGGAGCGTGTGGGCCTGGAACTCGCACTCTGCTTTGGAGTGTGGGCACTGCAAGCTGCAGCTGGGCCACAGAGCCCAAGCCTCCCTGTCGCCGTGATCTGCCCAGATCCGCAAGGTGCACTGTCAAAGAAGAAACAAATCGCAGAGTAGGCTGTCCAGACTGCCCCGACCATTCGTCATTTTAAAAGAAGCAAAGGGGGCAGATGTTTAGCCTAGCGGTTCAGCTGCTACTTAAGATGCCCACACTCCACACCGGAGGCCTGGGTCCCAGGCTCTGGCTCCTGACTCAGTTTCCTGCTGGTACTCTGCAGGGCGGCAGTGATGGCTCAAGTGTTGGGGCTCCTGCTCCCACGTGGGAGACCTGCAGTGAGTCCTTAGCTCCTGGCTTTGGTCTAGGCCCGGCCCCAGCCCCTGTGGGCATTTGGGGAGTGAACCAGTAGGTAGAAATTCTATCTCTGCGGGTCTGTCTCTCCCTATCTGCTTCTTAAACACATACAGAAAACAAGTAAGAGAAGAAACTGGAAAGAGTGCGTGTGTATTTGCTTGTCTTGCTAGGAAACAGCCTCCAAGGAGGACAAAGGGACCTGCTTTTGATGCTTCATGGCTGTTGTGCTGTGAGCAGGTCCTGCCTCTTCAAAATGGAATTACATGCAAATGGAAGGAGGAGAGGTATGGACCCTCCAGACTTCTCCTCCCACTCTGAGACTGTGTGGTGTGAAAGCCATCTGTGAACAAGCAGGTGAAACTCGCCTGGTGCGTGAGCCCCGCCGGCGGGCAGGATCCACCTGGATCCCTGGAGGTGGCGGGGGTGGGGGGGCACAGCGAGCGCCTGCCACTCAGGGACAGAAGTGTTTCTAGAACTGCCGCTCCCTGAGCTCGCGACTTGCCTGTTGGAAGTGGACCCCTCAGGATTTTTAGTTCAGAGAGTTGTGACTCCAGCACTCCACGCCACGGCAGAACGCTGTGGCCCCCACGCCCCTCTACCTATAGAAGTTAACTTGTAGTGCCGGCACTGTGGCGTAGTGGGTTAAAATCCTGACCTGCAGTGCCAGCATCTCATATGGGCACGGGTTTGAGTCCCAGCTGCTGCACTTCCAATCCAGCTCCCTGCTAATGTGCCTGGGAAAGCAGTAGAAGACGGCCCAAGTGCTTGGGCCCCTGCACCTGCATGGGAGACCTAGAGGAAGCTCCTGGCTTCGGATCAGTGCAGCTCCGGCCGTTGTGGCCATCTGGGGAGTGAACCAACAAATGGAAGACCTCTCTCTCTGTCTCTACTTCTCTCTGTAACTCTGTCTTTCAAATAAATAAAAATATATCTTAAAAAAAGTTACTCATTTACCCACCCCACCCCCATTTCCTTTTTGTCTCTGTGGATGTGCCCATTCTGGGTATTTCCTTCGGGCCGTTTGTGATTGGCGCATTCACAGAGCTTGAGGTTTTGAGTCCTTCCAGAATGTTCTTCTTACACACACAGAACCCAGACAGGCAGTGGTATTCTCTGGGGTGGAGCTCTAGGATCACCTGAGATACTCAGATTTAAGGTGGACAGTCCCCTTTTAGTTGGATGGATTTTTGTATCTTTGTCTTTATTTTAAACATGTTTTCATCTACCTGAAAAGCAGAACGACCCACAGATTTTCCATGTTCCCACCGGCTGGTTCACTCCCCAGATGCCACACTGAAGCCGAGAGCCAGGAGCTCCATCCGCATTCCCACATGGGTGCCAGGGCCGAAGCACTTGGGCCATCACCCACTGCCTTGCAGGTGTGTGGAGCTGGGTGGGAGGCACGGTGGCTGGGACTGGAACGTTTGACTGGAGACGCCCCCCGCACAAGGCTGACACGGCCTGGGAGCTGAGGACCTGTGCTGCCGCTGCTGCCCCGCGGGCCCGGGCTGGGGCGGAGGGGCTGGGGACGGGAGGAGGGGGCCCTTCTCCACCCCTTCCTCCCTTCCCTGGGAAAATCCAACAGGTGGTGAGGCCGAGCGCCAGGGCTTTTGTGCCGGACCGGCGGGCCGGAGGGCGCAGTGTGTGTCTGGGGAAGATGGATGCCTTCATTACCATGTGAATCCTGGGAACGGCCGCGGCCCGGAGGTGGGTGGGCGTGGGCTGTGGGGCCGGGGCTGGACGTTCTCAGGCCCGGACCACACAGCGCCTGGGAAGGGGGTCCCGTGGAATCCTGAGAGACCCATTGAAAAAAAAAAAAAAACCACGACACAACAGATAATGGGATTTCCCCTCTTGTTCAATTTCTCTTAGGACATTTCCATCCTGTGGGGCTTCCAGAGACACAGACGGACAACAAAACAAAAAAATGGTAAGGAAGAAAAAACTCTTTTTTTCCCCCTTTCTCACTGCAGCTTGCTTTCCCACCGACAGCGCGGCGCGCTGGGGCGTGAACACAGTGGCTGCGGCCCGCCTGCGGCCCTGGCTGGCTCCCCCGTGCCCGTGGGCTGTGTCCTTGGCAAATCCAGGGCCATCAGCGGGTAGTGCTGAGCAAACTGGGAGCAGCGTTGAGTCCTAAAAAAACGAAAAGTGGCGTTAACTTGGCCAGAGGAGAAAGGCCTGGCTGGCGTTTGGGAAGGAGGCAGGTAGGGGAGAGAGAATGCTCTCTCCCAGTTCCTGTGCCCCCATTTCACAGATGAGGAAACTGGGCAGTCAGAATCGCAAACCTTGGGGGCAGAGGACACCAGTATCCTGTATTGGAGTGCCTGGTTCAAGTCCAGGCACCTCTGCTTATGATCCAGCTTCCTGCTAATGTGCCGGGGTGGGGGTGGGGGGCAGCAGGTGATGGCTCAAGTACATGGGTTCCTACTACCCACTTGAGAGACCAGGATGGAGTTCCTGGCTCCTGGCTTTGGCCTGCCCCAGCCCAATGGAGGGCATCTGGGGAGTGAACCAGCAGATGGAAGATCTCTCTCTCTCTCTCTCTCTCTCTCTCTAATTCTGCTTTTCAAATAAATAAATAATTAGACTCTCTCACTGTCCACTCTGCCTGTCAAAAAATAAAAATAAATAAATAATTAGATCGTAAATTTTCAAAGCCGGTCTTAGTCTTACTGCACAGTCTGCGAGCTTTTTCTGGAGTTTCTGCATGTGGACACAGGGAGGCTGGTGGGGACGGGCACAGGCTGGGTGGGGAGTGACCTGGGCAGAGGGCAGCACGGATCAGAAATACAAGATACACACACACACACACACACACACACACACGGGCAGAAAGGTGCAGTGGCACCCATTCACTAACTTGCATACTGAGAATCTTTGCAAAAACCCTTTTATTAGCCCAAACATGCCTAATCACACAGGATCTCTAGTCTGTTTTAATTTTTTTTTATTTTTATTTTTTTTGACAGGCAGAGTGGATAGTGAGAGAGAGAGACAGAGAGAAAGGTCTTCCTTTTGCCATTGGTTCACCCTCCAATGGCCACCACGGCCGGCACGCTGCGGCCGGCGCACTGCGCTGATCCGATGGCAGGAGCCAGGTGCTTCTCCTGGTCTCCCATGGGGTGCAGGGCCCAAGCACTTGGGCCATCCTCCACTGCCTTCCCGGGCCACAGCAGAGAGCTGGCCTGGAAGAGGGGCAACCGGGACAGAATCCGGCGCCCCGACCGGGACTAGAACCCGGTGTGCCGGCGCCGCTCGGTGGAGGATTAGCCTAGTGAGCCGCGGCGCCGGCCTCTAGTCTGTTTTTAAAAAGACATATTTATTGAGGCCAGCACTGTGGTGCAGCGGGTTAAAGCCCTGGCCTGAAGTGCCAGCATCTCATATGGGCGCTGGTTCTAGTCTTCGCTGCTCCTTCTCCAATCCAGCTCTCTGCTATGGCTTGGGAAAGCAGTAGAAGGTGGCTCAAGTCCTTGGGCCCCTGCACGCATGTGGGAGACCCAGAAGAAGCTCCTGGCTTTGGATCAGCACAGCTCGGGCTTTTGTGGTCATCAGGAGAGTGAACCAGCGGATGGAAGACCTCTCTCTCTGTCTCTACCTCTCTGTGTAACTCTTTCAAATAAATAAAATAAATCTTTTTTAAAAAGATGTATTTATTTGAAAGGCAAATTGGGTAAGCAGAGTGTGTGGGCAGTGGGGGAGGTAGGAGACCCAGAGGGAGGTATTCCATACTCTGGTTCCTTCCCCAAATGGCTACAACAGCCTGGGGCTGGGCCAGCTCGAAGTCAGGAGTCTGGAACTCCATCCCGGTCTCCTATGTGAGTGCAGAGGCCCAAGCACTTGAGCCATCTTCAGCTGTTTCCCAGGTGCTTTAGCAGGGAGCTGGATTGGAAGCAGAGCAGCTGGGACATGAACTGGTGCCCATATGGGATGCCGCAGTTGCACACGCAACACCAGCTCCAGGATCTCTCTCTCATGCATGCGTGCGTGCACACACACATCCCAATGTAGTTACTGCTTCACATGTTCTCACACGCGCTTCTAAACACACCAGGATAGACACCAGTGTGTAAGTTTGCATTCTGTTCAATGAAAGTCCTAGCAAGCCCTAGGCTGGGCCTGAGCTGCTGCTGTGGCCAACGGACCAAACCCAGAAGGAGTTCTCCACGGCACCTCCACAGAGCTGTTTACCTGCCTTCCCAAGGAGTCCCGAGAGAGGGGAAAGTAGCCAGCCCGCCAGAGGCTGGCGCAGGCAGCAGGAGCAAGTGCCTGTGGGAAGTCAGTCAGTGCGGCGATTTGTCTCTCTGCCGAGCTCCTCGCAGCGCTGCTTGTACTGCCTGGCGCTGGGCTCGCAGACAGAGCCAGCCGAGACCTTTAAATCTGTCGTTTGCAGCCGGCGTTGTGGCATATCCGCATGCTGGTTCAGTCCTGGCTGCTCCGCTTCCTGTCTTGCTCCGTGCTAATGCGCCTGGGAAGAGCCGGATGGGGTCCCTGGCTCCTGGCTTCAGCCTGGCCCAGCTCTGGCTGTTGCAGCCACTTGGGGAGTGAACCCATGGTGGAAGATCTTTCTCTCTCTGTCACTTGGCCTTTCAAATAAATCAATAAATCATTTTTAAAATGTGATGTAATTTTGTCTTTTGACAATTCACAAACCCAACCAAGTAGAAACACATGTGTCCTGTGCATAAGGTTTCAACTCCTGCACCCTTACAGGCCTGAACAGGCCAGATGTGCACGGATTCTCCCAAGAACACACACTCTGCCACACAGACGCGGACACACGTGCTCACAGCTGCGTGGGAACCTGTCACGAAGAAAGGGCCTCAGCCCCGGCCCTGAATCCACACCTCGGCAGCGGCTGTCCAGTCTCAGCCCTGGGTTTTTCTACTGCCCAGCCCCTCCCCCACCTTGACACCTATGCTTCCTGGGCCTCTACCTCCCTCCCCCTCCAGCTGGCCCTGGGACAGCCAGAGAGGGGCAGGCACCCAGCTCCTGGTGCCGGAGATGGCCCGCTCCTGGAGGCCTTGAATGCAGGACCAAGGTGCTGAGCCTCAGCAGGTCCTTCCCCTCCCCCAAGGGCTGATCCCAGGGCCACAGGGCCAGCCCACTGGGCAGCTTTGGGGATGGCGGGAGGTCCTAATACAGACCCCCCCTGGCCTCATCTCCTGGGCAGGGGTCTGCCTTACATGCAGGTAACCAGTCTGTTTCCCTTGTCCCGCGTCAAAGTGACAGAGGCTGAGTATTAGATAGGAGGAGGTCAGAAACGGGTATCAAAACAATATGCACTGTCCATCGATTTGGGTTAAAAATCCTTACTAAGCTGGGCCAGCGCTGTGGCGCTGTGGGTTGGGTTCAGCCACTGCTGATGATGCCAGCAGCCCCTATCCGAGTGCTTGTTTGAGTCCCAGCTGCTCCACTTCCAATTGAGCTCCCTGCTCACGTGCCTGGGAAGGCACCGGGTGATGGCTCAAGTCTTTGGGCCCCTGCCACCCACATGGGAAACTCAACAGCCAAGTTTGGGCCAGGCAGGCTGAAGCCAGGAGCCTGGAACTCAACTCCATCTAGCTTTCCCATGTGGGCAGCAGGGACCCAAGTCCTTGAGCCATCACCTGCTGCCTCCCAGAGTGTGCATCGGCAGGAAGTTGGATCAGCAGCTGCCAAGCCTGCCCTGGAACCCAGGCGCTCCCGTGTGGGATGTGAGTGTCCTAACTGCTACTTGCTGTGCCACACGCTTGCCGTTTTTTTTTTTTTTTTTAATTTATCTGAAAGGCAGAGTCTGTCTGTCTGTGTCGCTCCCTCACACACAGAGACATCTTTCATCTACTGGTTCAGTCCCCAAATGGGTGCAATGGCCTGGAACTCTGGGTCTCCTGTATGGATATCAGGGGCCCAAGCACCTGGGGCATTGTCCTGCGTTCCCAGGTGCATTAGCAGGGAACTGGGTCGGGAGTGGAGCAGCCAAGATGGGAACTGGCGCCCCTGTGGGATGCTGGCGCTGCAGGCTGCGGCTTTACCCTTGGTGACGCTGGTTTCATCTCAGGTCTCTATCCCCAGCATGGGGCTCTCCTGATTCCCTTCAGCTCTAGGCCTCTCTGGGACCTGAGCAGAGCCAGGGACATTTTTAAGGACGGGAGTGGAGTGAGTTCACAGTCCCCGAGGAGAGGGAATCGGAGTGGAGTCAGAATCCCGGTGTCGGTGGCCCCGCCGTGCTTCGGAGGGGCACAGGGGTGACCGCCCTGAGTCCTGTCTGTCAGCTCCCCACTCCCTTGGTCATCGCCGACTCCCAGGCCTTCTCCACTGCAAACACCCTTGCTCTGAGCCCTTCTTTGGCTCCCTGGCCCCAAGGGCTCTGCCCCTCCCTCTCCCCCTCCCCCTGAGGAAGAGCAGGTGAGGGCAGTGAGCTGCTTCCTCATGTCTCACCTTTGCCGCTCTGGCCCTCTGGGACCTTGGTCAGGTTTCAGACCCTCCTTGGATTTTAAATGCTGCAGGCGCCAGATGTAGCTAAGAGTTCATTTCTTTTTTTTCCCCCTAAGGCTACATTTCTTTTTGTGATTATTGACTTCTTTTTATTTATTTGAAAGTCAGAGTTACAGACAGAGAAAGAGAGAATGAATCTTTCTTCCACTGGTTCACTCCCCACAGGGTCCCAAAGGCCAGGGCTGGGCCAGGGTGAAGCCAGGAACCGGGAGCCCCGTCCTGGGCTTCCGCGTGGGTGGGAGGGGCTCTACTTGAGCCATTTTCTGCTGCCTTCCAGCCGTATCAGCAGGCAGCTGGATCAGAATCGGAGCAGCCAGGATTCGAACCAACACCCCCCACTGTACTGGTTTTTGAAAAGTATGTTCACTTGACCCAAACTTTTAAAAATACAAAATATGGCAAAGTTTGCATATTCAGCAAAAAATTTCTTCCCAAGCAACCCAGTGCCCAGCCTTCAGATGTACCCGGATCTGTCTTCTCACATCTCGGAGGCCCTTCCGGAAATGTCACCCACCGGGACGCACACCACGTGCGCCCTCCATGTGCACTGTCCCACTTCCCACACGACCGTGTGCCAGGTGAGCAGCATGGAGCTGGAGGAAGGTTCGTGGGCATAGACTCCGGTCCTGTGAGTGCGTCCGCCCCGGCAAGATCCTCAGGCGGAAAACCAAGGCTCGGCCTCCGCGGGTTTACGACCCGGGGCCGCCCGCGCAGGGGGACGCGAAAGCCAAGGACCGAAGGGAAGGAAACGAAGAGTTCACGCAGCCCCGCGTCACAGGCAGGGAACCGGAGGGGCCGGGAAGCCAGGCGGCCGCCCCCGCTGGGAGACCCCAGCCCGCGACGCAGCCGCAGCGCCGGGACGCGAGCGCGCCCACGCCCGCCGGCGGCGGCTCCTCCCCGGGGGCGTGGCCGCGGACCCGCCCCCGCGCGCACATTCCTGGCAGCCGCGGCCGGCCGTTTCCTGCCTGCGTCGCTGGGCGGGCGGCCGGCCCATCTGGCGGCCCCCACGGGGCGGCGCGGGGAGGCGGCCCAGACTCGCTGGAGCCAGGCGCCGGCCGGGTTCCCCGCTGCCCGCCTGGAGAGCCCAGGTGTGGCCGCGGCGGGGGTGGGGGTGGCGCTTCCCTTCCCGCCCGCTTGGCCTTTCCTGACGCACCCGGGCAGGATGCAGCCTCCGCCCCCCGCGACCCGGCCTGGGCCCACCGGGGGAATCTGAGCAGGGGGGTGCGGCCGCCCCGTGGGATCCTCGGCCCTGGGGCTGCTTCCCCGTGCGTGCCCCCACAGCTGAACTCTGACCTCCTGGGCCGCAAGGCTCTTGCCTCGCCCCTCAAGAACCCCGGCAGGACGGTAGCGACGACAGGAGAAGGCACCTCTCGGGTGTTATCGTTCACTCAGCCACGTCTTGACCTGTGCTCCCTGCGGTGCCCCAGGTACTGAGGCCGGACAAACGTGCTCCCCCCAAAGTTAGAGCAGCGCCCTGGGAGGGAGGCGCTAGCGACAGGCAGTCGGGTGGGGAGGTGGGAGCCAGCCGGGCTTTTACACGGAGACCGCCCACCCCCTATCCTCACCCAGGTCGACATCACAGTGGCCACCTCCGCACCCTATACACTTGCTGAAGGCCTCTGCCTCAGTTTCCCCGCCGGTTAAATGATTGCATAGCCCCAGTCCCGTGTGAAATTGACACGTTAAACACAAGGGGTATGCATTAGGGCTCTCGGTGGGGCTGGTTTTCCCTTGGAGTCCCCCCCCCCACCTACTGTAGTCAGGGGAGACTGAGGCAGAGAGACACCAACAAATCAGAACTGGGGGTGGGGCACTGTTTTCCGACTCCACACCCACCCGAGAGTGAGGCCGGCCCCGGGCCCAGCACCCAGCCCTGACTCCAGTGTGCAGGCCCCGTCCGTGGCCGGCCTGGTGCCATTTTTCCATGGGACTCTGGCGGTGGCAGTTCACATCTGGAGTCTAGACTCCAAGGCTCTGCCGGCCGGGCCTACCGCCCGGGCTGGGCCACCGCTGCCCGCTGTTTGCTCAGCTGAAGCTGGTTAATTGGAATTGGAGTGGCCTCTGCGGTGCCGGCTGGCCGGGCGGGCCCTGCTCGGCGCTGCCGAGGTCTGTGGAACATCTGGCCCGGCCAGGACGGTCATTAGGTGGCAGGCGCCCGGCGCCACTGCCACCTCAGCCTCCGCTGGGGGCCGGCGGTGACTCAATGAGGCCTTTGTGGGCCCGGGGCCGCAGAGCCAACCGCGCTGTGTGCCTGGGCCGCTTGCCCCATCTGCCGCCCTCACAGGGGCTTTGTTCCAGGACCACACGGCCTCCCCCCCGGAGGCGGCTGGAGTTGGCGGAGATCCGAGAAGCCCCTGAAAGGGACCCTCCTGGCTGGGAGAAGCCTTCGATTCCTCCTCCTTCTTTCCATAGGATCCTGGGCCCAGGGAAGCTGGGTGCTGGCTCCGAGGGGCCCAGCCCACCAGCCACGTGACCGTCCCAAGGGCTCTGGAGAGGACCTGGACGGTCCTCAGGAGCTTGGCATCCAATCCTGACTGCTTGAGGTCCACTTGATGTCCACTGCAAGCTGCCTCTGTGCTCTCCGCTGTACAGGGGGCTAACAGCAGCTCCCAGAACCCAAGGCTGTGAGAACCGAAGCTGCTATCGAGAAGCCTGGCACACGTCCGTCCCAGCGTTTTCACAGGCACTCTGAGTCTCTGGTCACGCTTGTCCTTTGAATGTGAAGTCGAACGAGGGAGAGTCCCGGCTAGAACTCAGGCCAACGGCCACCCCATCCTGTCTCAATGTTCCCACGCCAGGCTGGTGGGTGAGGGCTGTGCCCACTGCTCCCGATCCACTGGGGCCTCTCCCACAGGCAGGGCTGAGGGAACCCTGGCTCAGGGGTCTGTGGCTCTTGGGCACAGGCGGCCTGTCCAGGGTTCCCGGCCCTGCAGCAGTCACTCTGGGAAGAGTCCTGGGAATGGGCACAATGGAAGAGATGGGACCTTTGTCTCCAAGGCAACCTGGAGTCCAGGCCCTCTGAAGCTGAAGCCAGCGGCCATGGGGACCGTGGGCACCAGGGAAGCGCGCCGGCATCAGCTTTGGCACCCCCCCACAGCTTGCCCGGGCCGGGTGCAGGGGCAAGCACAGCACTGGCTTGACACCCTCACTGCCGCCTTCACTGCTGGGGGGAAAATGATGGCTGGGAGGGGGGCTCATGGGCCCCCTCTGCTGGCCAGCCCGCTGGCAGCGCACTGGGGGTGGGGAGGCTCTCAGGAAGCTTTTGGGTGGGCAGGGAGACGCGGTAATGCCAGTGCAAGACACCAGCAGCACTGCAGGGAACCCTTCCAGGAGCACAGCGGCCCGCCCCAGCCAGGGGATGAGTTTTTAATGTGAGGCAAAGTCAGTCCACAATACAAAAATCTAAAAATCACACCCTTTTTCCCACTTGGCTTCTGGGAAGGGAGGAAGCTGGGGGATTCCTTTGCCTGCAGGGGAGAGGGAGGAGCAGAGGGAGGCCAGAGGAGGAAGAGAGGGAAGCTGAGGCCACAGGGGCTTGGCTGGAGGACCTGCTGCCCTCTCCCGGGTCCTGGAGCTGCCCTCAGCCTCCTGCGTCCTCTGCCCCTGCACGCCTGTGTGGGTCCTTCCCCGCCGTCAGGTCTGGCCCCAAAGGGTCAGCCCCAGGGGCGTCACTTCTCCTTCTTCTCCAGCCCCTTTGATGCAGATGCCTCTGTTGCCTCTTTGGATTCTGTCACTGCTGTTGGATCCTTGGGACTCGACTCCTCATAACTGAGCAAAAAACCAAACAATGGAGATAGGTCAGAGCGGGCAGAGAGCGGGGCCTTCGGTGCCCCCTCTCCCTCCGATCCAAGGAAGCCCCCCAGGCATTTGTGGGCGTCAGGCCTGCAGCCCCTGCCCAGCATCCTCCAGTCCTTTGGCTGCTTGGCATGCTCTGTGCCCGGTGGGGCCAAGAGGCAGCAGGGGCAGGTGGGGCCGAGGTTGTGCCTGGGCTTGTGTGGACCAACTGGCTTCCTGAATCTTCTGCAGGCGAATGAACAAAGGGGTAGCCAGGAAGAGACCGGGGGCCCGGCTGCCTCCCAGGGCACCGGGCAGGAGCCAGCAGCTCGCTCCCAGGGGTGCAGAGCAGGGGTGGCTCGACTGGCGAGGGGCAAGGTGCCGCCCTGCAGACACCCTGGCTCAGCTCTCACTGTGGGCTTCCCTCATTGAGCAACTGAGTTCATGCCAAGGCCAAACACGTATCTGCTCGCCACATCAACCCAGTGAGGCAGGGACGAGACAGCTAGAGATGAAGAAAGGCTCTGAAGGAGAAAGTGGCTTCTCCTGGGTTCCACCTACACAGTGAGCAGCAACCAGTCTCACCCACTCAGGGGGCCCCCACCCCTGTGGGTTACTGGGTTCTGGGCACCCCTGCTTCCTAGCCCGTGGCTCGCCTTGTATACTGAAGCTGGGGTATCTGCCCTACCTTGGGCCCCGGGGTAGTGGGGGGAAGCGGGCAGGTGGGCACCCGCTGGGCATTACATGGCGCTGGGATTCTGCGGGCGCCGGCGGCGAGGGCCAGCTAGCTTCTGCTGCATGGAGTCGGCCAGGCTGGCTGGGGAGCCCGAGACCGTGGGGAAGTGGGTGAGCCTCGGGGTATGAGGCAGGATTTCCGCTGAGGACTCGTAGCTGTGTGAGAGACAGAGACAGAGACAGGAAAAAGAGATGGAGAGGGAAAGACTGCCGGGGGACAGAGACTCCCTTCTGAAGGGGTGAGGGCAGCACGGTCTCCTCTCTCTCTCTCTGCCCCCGGAGACTTTGCAGGTGCACCACGCGGCTATGCGAGGCAAGGGTGCTCTAGATGCATCCACTGCTGTGCCCGTCTCAGAGACCCTGGGGCGCCACATGTTGGGGCTGGGGCACGAGGGGCTTGCAATCTGCAATCGTGCCAAAGTGTTCCCTATTCAAAGCAGTGAATGAAAGGGGAGTGCCAGTGAAGGAGAAAGGAAACCAAAAGGTGGGAGCAGGGGAGAGACAGGGACAGAGCCGGAGACCACCTGCTTTTCCAACTAAGTAACTTCTGGGCAGGGGGGAGAGGGCAACAGGTGGGCATCATGCCGAGGGCAGAACACCTAGGGAAACCCGGTGCCAGGCGAATGAAGAGGGAGCACCCTCTGCCCTGGCCGGGGCGCTCTGAGCTCAGCGATGAGGACGAAACAGGACCAGACAGGACGAGGGAGGCGGGGGCAGGTGGGCCTGAGGCTGGGTGACAGCCGGGGAGGGGGAGGGGAAAGTGCTGAGCTCAGGGATCAGGGCCATTTCTGCTCCAAAATCTCCAAATCTGTCCCCAAGTTCACCCTCCGCCCCTCCCTCCCTCATCTCAGCCACCGCAGGCCTCTGCCAGGCCACAAGATACGGGCAGGCAGCTGGAAGCTGGGAGCTGGGATTCCAGGCAGGACAGGGAGGGCAGAGGCAGGTAGGGGGGGAAGGGTGAGTCACTGGCTGCCCGCAGGGCAGCCAGGTGCACAGGAGGCCCTGGCAGGCACTCGAGGGACAACTCGGAGGCCAGGCAGGTGGAGCTGGGTGGAAGGCCCCCGAGTGGGCAGCTTTAATCACAGCTGGCAGCTATTTCTAGGTCCCCGGCAGGCGGGGCTGGAGGCACTGGGGAGCAGACACCTGCCAGAGTCACGCAGGCCTTGGGGTGTGGGTGGGGCTATGCACAAGGTGTGGCAGGTGTGGATGTGGCCATGGGGAAGGGGTATGTGTGTGAGGAGACACAAATTACAAATTGAGGTGGAGAGAAAGCAGTGAGCTGGGGTTACAGCCACAGAGGCGGCTCCCCAGGAACTGACACGTAACCTTGAACTTGGGGCACTTCCCACCACACAGCCCTGTTCGTTCAATTACTCACAGGTGAAAACTGAGGCCAAGGGAGGGGAAAGACATGCCTGAGGCCAGCCCCAGGTGGAGCCAGGGTGGGAGTGCAGGGCCCTGAGAGTGGAGAAGCCTGGAGAGAAGTCGTTGCCAGCGGCGTTCGCTGTGAAGGCTGCCTGGAGAGCCCCAGGAAAGGTTCCCACCGGTGCCCACAGCCCAGCTCCCACGTGCTGGTGGTGAGGGCGAGGGGTGGGGCAGTCGGGAAGAACGTTCCCCTAGAGATGTGTACAGACGCCCCCAGCAGGCTCCACGGGCGGCCTGCAGGTGCACCTGTGCCCATGAGCGTGCCCGCACCTGCCCCTGCCCCTGCCCCGCCTTACCTGAACATCTCTGTCACTTCTCCCTTGGCCAGCGCCACCAGGACGGGAAAGCCGATGCAGGCAGGGACCAGGTACAGGAGCGCAGGCTGTGAGGGGACACAGGCAGTGAGGCAGTGTTGGGCAGGGTACCCACTCAGGGCCACACCCAGCACCCCAACTCTTCCGGATGTGACCAGGGACCAATGACTGGTCCAGGTTCACAGAGCAAGTCAGCGGCTGAGCCCAAACCCAGGGCCCCAGGAAGGAACTTAAGAAACACACAGTGAGTCCAGCAGGCTCCTGGGAGTCCGGCTGCAGTGTCCCAATCACGTGGGCATCAGGGCCAAACACAACTGCCCAGGTGAGCACTACTCGCACAGACCCTGCTTCCCTAGGCCTGGGACATGCTGCTATGATGACAATGACCCAGGTGACCCCACTGGGATCACGCTAGGGCATCTGGCCCCAGGGCCTGTGTGGAGACTTCCGGCGCAGCTGCGTCGGGAGACGAGGAGACAGGACAAGCTCTCATGCACAGCCGCATCCCATGCAGGCAGGCTCCGAGTGTGGCCGCCCCGCGGCCCCGCCACTGCTGCTTTTGCAGAGGAGGAGGTCCGGGTGTTGAACGGAAGACCGGAGCCCAGGCCGCGGGACTCGGAAGCCCTTCCACCCTTGTGCATCTGCAAGTTGGACTTCACTGGGCGCTCGGCCTCCCCAGTCCCCAGTGCTCCCGTGGCCCGAAGGCTCCGGGAGGTGGGGTCCCTGCTTCCCTTGCCCGCCTCGCCTGACCCCCCACTCTAGCCATGGGACCTTTGCACGTGCAGCTTCTGCCGCCGGGGCTGCTTCTTGGGAAGAAGCCGGTACTCGCCGGAGCCAGGGCCCCTGGCCACTTGCTCTCCGACCCCCATGGGGTACCCCCCACAGCACACCTCCGTGGGGTGCAGTGCAGTGTGCCTGAGCCGGTGCAGACTGGAGCCCCTGCCCGCCCGCCAGTCATCTCGCCTAGTGCTCTACGCCCTGCCTGGCACTCGGAAGAAGGCCTGGTGGATACCAAGTGAATGGCTCCCTCTTGGGCGCTCACAAAGTTAAGAGCGTGTCTCGGAGATGAGTGGGGTGAGGGTAAGAGACACCATTCTTCACACAGAGCCAGCCCTTGGCCAGAGAACAAAGGAAGCCTCCCCCTGTGTCCCCGAGCCCAACCTTCAGACAACTCCTTGGCACTTTCCATGGGTGGGTTGTGAACCATATCAGTTTTTACAACCTCTAGTGAATTTATTAGAGAACAGGAAAGTCTTGAAATAAAAAACGCAAGTTTCCAAACCAAGAAGTTAGAAAGAGGGGCAGGTGCTGTGGTGCAGCAGCTTAAGCTGCCAGAGACAAGGACATCTCACGTCGGAGCATCAGTATGAGTTCCGGCTGCTGTTCCGATCTCGTTCCTGCTAACACACCTAGGAAGGCGGCACATGGCCCAAGTGCTTGAATTGTTGCCACCCATGTGGGAGACCCAGATGGAGTTCCTGGCTCCTGGCTTTGTCTGGCCCAACCCTGGCTGTTGTGGCCATTTGGGGAGTGAACCAACAGATGGAAGATCTGTCACTCTGCCTTTCAAATAATAAATGTTAAAAAAAATTTGAGGTGCAGAGAGGGGAGAAGGACTTGTCAAAAAAAAAAAAAAAAAAAAATCACAGTGGGTAGGATTTGCACCCAGGTTCCTCTGCCTCTAAGCCCAAAGCACTATCTTCAGCAAAGCCTGAGAGAGAAAAGTGGGGTCTGGGGAAGCGGGGGCACCTCTCCTGACAGCTGCAGCCATTGTCGTCAGAGGAATGCAATCTTGGATTATCCTTTTTCCCCTCAAAGCACCGGGGAACTTGTCCAAAGAGGTCAGTGTGGAGAAGGTGGGACACATAGCTCAGAGCCAGGAGCTGGGGGTCAGGACTCCTGGCTTCCCACTGTGGCCAGGGCTGAACTATTTCCCACTTGCTCTGCACAACGAGGACGCTGAAGCCCATCACCCCTGAGGGCTTCCCGGAGGCTCCTTGGCTTGGGGTGGGCTTCTGAACGAGCTGCCCTCCCCAAGGCGAGGCCGGCACCAGGGGTGCATCTAGGAGAGGGCAGGGGACCACCATGAAACAGGGTCCCTTGATGTCCAGATCCCCTTCCCAATTAGGAATTTTAGGAAGATGCCAAGTTGGATGACTTGGGAAAAGGGCTGGGCTGTTACCACTGGGCAGTGGCCCTGGCCTGGGATCAGGGGTCAGGAGTCCAGGGCTCCAGTCAGGGCCCAGATTGACATCTGGGAGTCTCCTTTTCTTTCAGAGCTGCAGTGACCCCATAAAGGAGAGAGGACCACACCCTGAAGGTAACTGAATGGGAGCCCCCAGTCCAACCAGGCAGAGGGCAAGCCTGCCACCTGGTGGCTGCTGGGGGAACAGCTCTGATTTTATTTCATTTTATTTTTTAAATATTTATTGACAGGCACATGGCAGTGAGGGAGAAAGAGAGATCTCCCATCTGTTGGTTCAACTCTCCAAACAGCTGCAACAGCCAGGGCTGGGCCAGGCCAACATCAGGAGCCTGGAATTCTATCTAGGCTGTCCATGTGGTGTGGCAGGGCCCCAAGCACTTGGGCCATTAACTGCTGCCTTCCCAGGTGCATTCGCAGGAAGCCGGATCAGAAGTGGAACAGTCAGGCCTTGAACCAGTGCTCAGATACGGTAAGTTAGTGGTGGCTTAACTGGCAGTGCCACAAAGCCGGCTGCTGGGCTTAGAATCTTGACCTGGAACTGGTAGAGAGCTGGAGCAGAGACCTCCAAACTAAACCAGTCCCCAGTCCAGACCCAGTCAGTCTGGGAAGCCCTCGCCAGCTTGACACCCCTCCCAGCTAGCACTGCCCTGGAGGCCGTTCCGGGCAGACTGAGCAGGCTTCCCTGAGGGCTCTGGGCTAGGGGCCGGGGGCCTTCTGTGCATACCCGTAGCACCTCCCTCCCCTCCGGGGCTCACGGTGAAGCCTACGTGCATTAACAACAAACAGCATGCAGGAGCCAACAAACAGCTCTTGTGATTCATTCTGAGGCAGCTCCTCTGAGGACAGGCCATGGGCAGTGGGGGCAAGGGGGAGAGCCTCTTATCCGTGGAGGCCACACTCTGGTAGACGCCTGCACCAGCCGCCAGCCACGTCACGTGCAGGTGTGTGGGACAGGTGGGTCACGTTCCTCATCCTACTGCTCGGGACAGCACCCACCTGACTACTTGTGAACTGCTTCCTTCCAGAACTTTCCACCTCACATCTCTGTGCCACAGGTCACTGAGACCATGGAAGGTAAAACCTCGTGTATGAGGAGACCACTGTTGGCGACAGCCAATGCTAACTGGACCAGGAATGGCTCTGAGCATTTGTTAATTCATTCCATCCTCAAATCACTCCAAGGTGGCTGCTGTTTATCTCCATTTTCTGTGTTCACTACCAGTGAGGAAAAGCAAGCAAAGGCAGCAACCCGCCCGGCGGCCCACGCAGCAGCTGGCCTCCAAATTCCCAGTGGGGCTGGGGCTTCTCAGCCTGGGCCTGGCGTTCACGCTGACCCAGGCATGGCTCCTGGCTCTAGCACTTCCTGCCTGTGTGGCCCCTGTTCACAGGGACCCTCAGGGGCAGAGTCCGGCCCATGGGAGGTCCTGTCTGCTCCTCTTCCCTCCAGGTTCTCACCCTGCACCAGGTCACCTGAGCGTGACCCACCTGAGCTCTGTACCCACCCTGGTGGCAGAAGGCAGAGCCCTGGTCTACCCAGGGACCTCAACACCCTATCGCTCACCTGGGGAGTGAGTGCTTCACTGCGACACACCCGACACCCATCCCAATCCTGTTCTCTGTTTGCCACTACAGAGGCGCCAAGTTCTTTCCTGGAGTCTCAGTCTCGTGAGGCCAGGGAGGCCATGTGGCACCGAGCTGGCTCATGAAACACAGGTGAACATTTGCTAAGAGGCTCCTGGGCAAGTTCCTGCCTTCCTGACGACGGCGGCAAGCAGGCCTACTGGGTGTGCGCTGGAGCAGCGACAGCCTCCCTGCAACCACAGGAGCAAGGCCACGAGAAGCGGCCAGCCCTGCGCCGGCAGCAGTGGGCCCCGGGAGCCCCGGGAGGGCTGCGACTGTGCTGACGGGGGCGGGCCCGCTCACCTGGGCGTGCTTGAAGACGTGCATGATGCAGATGGTGAGGCCCAGGCCGAAGATGTAGGCCGCAAAGCTGGTGTAGAAGTAGGTGTGCGTGTTCTTCTTCAGGCTGCGGGGAAAGCGCAGGGGTCAGCCGAGGGCACTGCTGCAGCAACAAACCTTCAGAGGACGGAGCCGGGGGGGCCGGGGGAGCCGGGAGCCCCGGGCTGGACGCGCATCTGTCACTGCCCTCAGCTACGTCTCCTGATGAGTCACCTTCCTTTTCTCAGCCTCAGTTTACTCATCTGCAAAACGGGAAAACCACAAGCCCATCTCCCTGGGGGTTTGTGAACATGGATGCTGTATCTAGAACCTAGAACACTGGCGCTAAGACGCCAGCCAGCATAACAATCTGGAAAGCTTAGAAAAAAACAAAAAATACAGGTTCTAGGTCCGGGTCCAGACCCGATCTAGCAGGTCTGGGGTGAGGCCCAGGAAATCACTATCTGAAAAACGGAGGGAATCTGATACGGGGTCGCGCTTTGAGAAACCACAGGCAGTCATCACCCACAAGTGCAGCGGGTGCAGCTTGGTGGCACTGTGTCGACTGCGCGGGTCCAACATGGGCGGCGCCGTGACCGCCGTGTGCCCCCAGTGATGCCACACAAGCTGGCCCTGGCTGCTTCGGGGGCTCCAGCTGCAAGCGCCCTGGGAGCTGCTGCACTCCCCCTGGGAAGGCTGCAGGTTCTGCCATCAGCCTGGAAGGCCTGTGAGCCTATGCTAGGAACGAGATTTGGCCTCCGCAGGTGCCGGCAGTGGCACCTCCAGCCAAGGGCCAGGGGAATCCTGTGCGTCCCTTCTGTGTTAGCTCTGCTTAGCCAGAGCACACATGGCTGGCCCTGATGTGCCTCTCCTTACAGGCTGGCCAGCTCCCCCTCCTCCCAAGGCCCGTTGTCTGTTAGCCCTGTGTCCCTGCGTTCCAAATGGGCAGTATACAAACAACCCAGATGTCTGCGAGTCAGAGTCGGAGAGGTTGTCTGGGTGGAAGCTCAGCGACCTAGCACTGAGTCTCACCCCCGCCCCCACTTCTGCAGCTTTAGCAATGATCAGCCAAGCCCTGGCTGGCGCCACCTGCTGGTGGCAGGGCCAGTCGTTCAGGCGCTAACTCAGATAGGACCTGGAGTGTTGGGCAAGGGTGGCCTCCCCTCCCTCACGCCCTTTCCTCTAACAGGCAGCCCAGGAGTCTAAGCAAGGAGCCAGAGGGAACAGCTGCGCTGTGTTGACCGAGCCCAGGATGCTACCAGCGAAGCCATCGGCTGCGGCTGGATCCCCCCGGGCGCCCCCAGCCTCTCCTGATGACCCTGCGGCAGGAATCGTCTCCTGTGGACCTAAGGATGAGGGGCTGGGGCTTGGAAAGGCTGGGCAGGCAGCATCACGAGACCTTCTGTGCTGAAGTCTCCTGGCCTGGGGTTCTCAGCTTTGAAGAAACGTTCTGATCACAGGTTTTTCAAATACTTAGAATTTCCAAACAGACACAGTGAGAAGAGCTCTGGGTGGTGTGGGGTGGAGGATCTGGTCCCCTGTGGCCCACCCCTGGGCTCATGAAAGCGCTGGGGAGTGCCTGGAAGACCCTCACTTGCTTACCTGATGTCAAAACGCAGCAGCAAGGCAATGAAGATGCCTGCAGGGAGAGAGCCAGGGTTAGAGGGCGCCAGGGAACTGCCAGTCAGGGGCAGTCGCCAGCCCTGAAGATGTGGCCCACAGGGCAGGTGCTGGCGGAAACCCTGTTTCTCCCCCCAGGAGAAGGTCCCAGGATTTGGTGTTGGCCAGACTACAGTAACCTCACAGCGCCATACTGTGTCACACCGGGCGCCTGCTAGCACCGGGCACCACAGGGGATGCCAGGTAAGCAAAATCACTGCTCTAGAGAGCTGGGCCAGGAGTTCCTGCTGCACGGGCAGTCTGCCTGCTCGGGGGAGGCAGGGGAATGGAGAGGGCCTCTGAAGCGACACTGCCAGGGAAGGGGGTGCAAAGGTTCCAAGGCAAAGGGGCTAGGGGGTGTGGTCGGCACTGAGGGCCAGTGAGCCTGCGGCCAGCACGAGACACACAGGGAAGGGGACACACTGCAAGAGCTGGAAGCAGGAGAACCTCCTCAAGAGGTGTTGGAAAAGCTGCCGGTGGTTGCCGCATGGCTGCAGGGAGACCGTCAGGGGGCTCTGCAGCCGCTCTGGAGGTGATGGTGAGCTGCCCAGCCCTTCACCCCAGCCGTCCAAGCGCGCCTGGGATCCAGCCGTCCAAGCGCGCCTGGGATCCAGCCAGCTGCCGTATGCTGCACACAGCACGTCCGGCTGCACTTCTGCCTTCCTCGCTGGTCTTTGGGCAGAGGCCAAGTCACATTTAGTCGAGGGCAGGATCTCAAGAACTGAAATATGCAGGCCAGTGTTGTGGCGCAGCGAAGAAAGCCACCACCTGCAGTGCCAGCATCCCATGTGAGCGCAAGTTCAAGTCTCAGCTGCTCCACTCCCATTTCAGCTCTCGGCTAATGGGCCTGGGAAAGCACTACAAAATGGCCCAAGTGCTTGTGCCCCTGCACCATGTGGGAGATCCAGATGGAGTTCCAGGCTTCTGGCTTCAGCCTGGCCCAATCCCAGCCATTGTGAGCATCTGGGGAGCAAATCAGCTGATGGAAGATCTTTCTCTTAAAAAAAAAAAATCTGAAATACTTGGTGCTGCTCAAGCACCAACTGGCAACATATGATCAATTTTAAAGAGGGTAATGAGCTGGTTTTCAGTGAAGATTCCGGGAGTAGGGAGAGCACTCAAGCGCTTTCCCAGAAACAGCTGAACACTCAGCTCCCCCTGGCGGCCAAATTCTCCAACTACCCTACAGGTCAGGGCTTGGCCAGGAGCATTCAGTCCTGGTTCACCTGCACCTCAAGGCCGCGCTCCACCTGGGCTCCTGGAGGGTGCAACCAACTTAAGCTTCCTGTGATTTTGCAAAGGTCTGGGGGCACATACAAGGAGGTTTCAAAAAGCTCATGGATTCCAAACTTTTTCTGGTGCCAAAATAAACTTCGAATTCCAGTTTGCGCGACTGTTTTCAAGTACCCTTGGGAACACAGAGGTGAGGGTGAGCTCAGCCGTGCAGGGAGGTCCTGTGCATGCCCCAAGCCCAGACCGCGAGCAGGTGCGTGTGGTGCCCGTAGCGCAGCAGCCTTGTTTGCAGCGAGCCAAGTGCTGCCCGGGACCTGATCTCTTCTGTCGGATGCAGCCGCCTTCTCCGGGGGAAGCAGGGGTCCCTGCCGCACGGCACCGGAAGTGACGGAAGCGCTGGGGCGCAAGCCCCTACCTCCAGGCCCTCGTGGGCTCGGGCAGGTTGAGCCATCTCTGAGGCCCACACCGTCCTCATCAGCAACACTTATGCAGTGCACGGAGCGCCGCCAAGTGACCACTGTGCTGAGGGCTGGTCTCAGCAGCAGCCATTCCTGGCCCGAGTCTGGGCCCAAGTGCTCACTGGGGATTTTATCACGACTTTGCTTCTGAGCTTTAGTTTCCAGCTTGATCTCCATTTGTGTCACAAGATCAAAATCGCACAAAGTGCCAGTGTCATCCTGGATTATTAGAATTGCCATTAATCCCTGCACTGGACAGTAAGCTGGCTTTTCGCTTGCTCCAAACTTCCCTCTCCCACACACATCCAGCCTCTGCCTCTGAGCCCCTGGGCCTAGGGGAACACAGGTGCCTTTTGGCCCATTGCTGGGCCCAGGTCTGCAGCCCGGCATCCAAGCCGCGGGCGCTGCAGCTGCGGGGAGCGTGGCAGCAGCGCTCTGCCCTGAGGCTCCTGCCTGGGAATCTGGCTGCTGCTGTCAAGGCGAGGCCAAGTCCTGGCTACGAGAGATGGACGCCCACCCTTGGGACTGGGGACTGTGCCCACGTACACAGCACTGACTGGCAAGCACATGTAGATGCAGGGGCTCAAAGGCCAGCTTGGGAAGCTAAGTAGGTGTGTGTACTATGTCCCTCTACCAAGAACATGGACACGGGACGCGCGTGTTCTCCTGGGACCAGCTTGGCACACGGCAGGGCAGCCAGGGCACAGTGGCACACTCGGCAACACGGGGCTGTATGTGAGAGGTGCCAGCTCCGTCTAGGCTGCCACCCGACGTGCTTGCCAGGGTGTACCCTGGGCTGGCATTACACATTCACTTCCGGGCTTGAGTGTGGGCACCCGGGCACCCAGACTAGAAGCTCTGTGACGACAGCTCCCCGCGGGCTGTCTGGGCCCGGCTCACACATGTGCGGAGCTGGGATCCTTCAGTCAAGGTGGCCTGGCCCAGTCAGTGTAGGAACGGCCCAGGCTAACCGCGTCTCTTCCCCTGCCCCACAGCTAAGGCTGGCTGCTCTGGGTCCTGCCTCTTGCTCCAGAAACACCTCCCCGCAACACCCCAGGGCCCAGCCCTAGCAGTCACCTGGAATGACGATGTCTCCTAGGCCCAGCATGGCGAAGTTGTCCGCTTCGAGGCCCTTCTCCAGCAGATCCTGGGGAAACACCACTACAGGGGAGGCAGGAGTGTGAGCGGTCAGCCCAGCTCGGAGCACACACACATGCGTACACACACACACACACTGGCTGCGGGGGTGGGGGTGGGGAGGCGAGAGGATGCCGACAGGCCAAGAACCATGGCTCCACCTGGAATTATGGCTGGTCAGGGTGGGGAGTGGTGGGTGGGGGGCTGGGGCGGTCCAGGCTGAGGGCCTCTGCAGTGACAACTCAAACGACACACAATTTCAAAGCCTGCACAACTATGGGACCCTTTTGGCAAATGAGACTGACCCTACAGCCCGATCTGTAAGAGAAAAGAGACACCAAGTATTGACATTGAGAAGGTTCTCTGCATGGCGGCATGGCAGCATGGCGGGCCTGCCCACAGGCCCTTCTGTTTGTGGAGGGAGAAGAGGCCACACACCAGCAAATGCCTCACTTCCAGGTCCTCCCCTGGCAAGCCACTAGAAATACAGCCTAGGGAGAAAGGTGCCTCCCCGGGGCCTGGTCACAGCAGGAGGCACCTGGGGCTGGTGTTCACCCACAGGGCCTTGTGAGGACAAAGCAGTTGCTGCCTGCTGTATGAATCCAGTAGCAGCTCTGAATGGGACAGCCCTCCCAGGTGATTGGTCAAGTGTGATGTGAGGCTACGCCAACAAGCACAATCCCGCTCCCTGAATTCCCAGCTTCCCTTGCAGCTAGGGGTGGCCATATGACTCAGCTCTGTGTACACTATGTACACAGGGGCGCCACGGGGCTTCTGGGTAAGTTGTGCCTCTCCTATTAACGTGTCGATGTCCTCACCCTGCTTGCTCCTTCCTGGCTTGAACGTGCAGTGCACAATGTATAGATTTTCTTTTCTGACCCTCTCAGTCCTAGTACCATTCGCTTCTGAGCAGCAGACTACTGCGTCCACTCTAGATACGAAAACCAGGGCTCAGAGAGTTTAGGTTTCCTCCCTAAGGCCACACAGTAAAAGGCGGGGCTGGGATCTGAGCTGCAGCCTCTGGGAACTTGACTGTTCTGGTTTCCTGCCTCTGAGATCCAGGCCTAGCACCAGGCACTGGTGTTCTCCAGGCACCAAATATGACCGCGGCACCACTTTCTGCTCAGAGCCTCCCGAGGGCCCGTCCTCGCTGTCTGGGCAGTGCCCAAGCTCCCTGGCATGGCATCCTTGGGCTTCCTCCAATCTGGCCTCTGCACACCTCTTCCCAGCCTCATCCCTGCTGCTCCCTGGAACTCAGCCACACTCCTGCCCTGGTGTTGGGCTCCCAGGGTGCTCTGCGCTTGCCTGCCTCCAGTCCTTTGCCGACACTGTCTGCTCTTTCAAACACCCATCCTGTCCCTATGGGCTTGATGATGTGTGTTCCCCACCACTTAGCTGGGTCCTCCAGGTTCCTCCATCAAAGCCCACGGGAGGTAAAGGCTCTGCTCCGGCTGCTGCCTGTTCTGCTCTGGAGAACACCCACCCCTGCATGCTTGCTTCCGGGAGCCGCCAGCAGCAGATGGGGCGGTGAGACACCCAGGCCTGTCCACCGTGCTCCTCTGTCTCCCCAATGAGACGAGCCAGGCCGGGCCCTGGAGGTGTACTGAGGCTAGAGCTAGGAGAAGCTTGTTTCCCTCTGGAGTCACTGGACAGGAAGCACAACATTTAGGAGCACGGTGTGGCCCTGCAGCTCCTAGAGAAAGGCTGCCTGCGATGGCGGAGAACGAGGCTGTTTCTGGCTTCCTGGACTTGCCTTCCCCATGCCCCCGCTGCCGCAGGCAAAGCCTCCCCGGCACTCACTGCTGACCGCCCTCCCAACAGCACCCTCCTCTTCCTTCTTGATGTTTCAGTCTGTCCCCTCTGAGCTGTGTGATCCGTGAGGCGGTTCCTGCTTAGTCTGAAGCTTAGATTTGCGGCAAACCACACCTTTCCCAGCCCTCTGGCTGATGCATGGTTTGCACTTTAACCCTCTGGCCCAGTTTTGGCCAATGAAACATGAGAGAGGCTGCAGCAGGGACTTGGGGAGCAATATCCCTCTCTGATGAGAAACAATGGCTTCTCCTTTCGGTCTCTGCACCTGGCAGTGTGAGGATTGTCAGTGCCAGGGACCTGGCAGCAACACTGGGACCAAGAAGGAACGAGCTTACAGGCAGGTGGACGTGCTGAGAAGGGTGGTGACTCCACTGAGTCATTAACCCAACCCTGAGCCATTCCACCCCTGGGCTTGCTGTAGCGTAAGAAAACAGAGTTTCTCCCTCATTCAAAGATGGCTACAGAAGCGGTGGGGACCGTGAAGAACAAAGCCTCGGGCCAGCCAGCATGTGATCTTCAGGTGCCGCGGGGATGCCAGCGAGTGATCCGTAAGGTCTCAGCCTGGAGGCCCCTTCTGGAAAATCGCTGCTCCCCCCACCAGGGGCTGGTGTTGGACACCTGCTCTCTGTACGTGCACTCATTCCAGCTCATCTCACACCACACTGCAACCTGCCAAGAGCTGGGGCCAGGCCGGGGCACAAGAGTGGCTCATGGACACGGCCAGATGAGCCAGGCAGAGAAGGCAACCAGGCTGGGGAGGCAGAGCTTGGAGGCACTGACCAGCAAGGCGACCACGAGGGCTGGGGGCAGCTGGGTGGGGAGGGGTGCCCTGTGGTAGGGGTGGTCACTTACGTTTTATTGGTGCTTCAAAGGACTTGGCCACTGTCACCATCACGTTGGTGCCAAACACCTAGAAGGAGAGAGGAGCCTGGAGCACAGTGGGGAAGAATGGCAGTCCCTGGGCTTCCAGATGTTCTGCTACATCTGGGGCAGGAGACAGGAGCCAACAGGGGCTCTAGACCAATCTGCGGCTGAGGTGACGTTGCCACTGGCACTGGGCGCTGGGAAACAAAGCCCAGGCAGCCCCGCCAGCACCACCCACTCAAGGGGAGAAGAGGCTGCCCGGGGCCAGAGGATGCGTGCCCGCCAGGCTGACCTCGTTTCCTCAGGGGGCCTCGTGGACACGCGTGACAGGTCCCTCAGCCCGGGGCTGGTGTGCAGCCAGGGCTCGCCCAGCCCCTTTCCAGCTGTGGGCCCCTTCGTCAGCACTTTCACCATCGTCTGAACTTCTCTGACTCCCAACCCGCTAAGGAGATGTGTGACGACACCACAGCTGTGCTGGGGCCACCGTGAGGAGGATGTGGGAGTAGCTGGGACACGCCTGGTGCTGAGCGGGTTCTGAGACGCGATCCGTGGCACAGACCGGCCCAGGGAGGACCTGCTCTGGGGGCCCACTTCCAGCGGGAGGCGGGGGGAGGGGCAGCAGGAAAATGAGGGCCCCGGGCGTCTCTGCCGACTCACCCAGAAGACGTCGTAGATGAAGAGTCCTCCCAGCAGGATGCAGCCAGTGCTCACGTTGTTCAGGTGCAGGAGCTCCACTCCGTTAAGGGAGAAGGCCAGGCCAAACAGGTTGTTGGCGATCCAGTGCTGCGGAAGCAAAGGGAGTGAGGCCAGCTTGCCTTGGCCACCCTGAGCTGTCACCCCTGCCTTCCATCTCGCCCAGGCCCACTACTTACCTTCCTCAGCAGGTACCAGACGCCAACAATGCTGCTCAGGCCCAGGCACACCAGGTCCTTAGTGTCAAACTCATAATTGATGATTTCTGGGCAGAGAGACCAGGTAAGTCCACTCCCCGGGCTGGGGCTGCCCCTCCCGCCTGTCAGCCCCTGGATGGAGGACGGGGGCACTGTCAGAAGCCCATGAGCTAAGGGGATCAGCATTGGCCGCTCCTGGCTGGTGGAAGTTCCAGGACAGGGAGAGCTCAGTGGCAACATCCCCAACCCCTCCAGTTTCCCAGAGGAGGGAACAGAGGCCTAGAGAAGAATGCAGGCCTGGTACGGGGTCAAAGGGAGGTGGTCCTTGGGGTTGGGGGCATGGTTCTGCCACCAGCAGCTGGGAGACCCTGGGGGAGGCAGCTCCCTCTCTGGCGTGTTTCCTCATCTGTGAACACTGGGTAACAGCACCTCCCTCATAGGCCTGCTGTGGGGAACAACGCATTCAGCGGTGCCTGGCAGCTGGCAGGTGTTCAATCCATGCCAGTGGACACCGGGCGGGGCCTCCAGCAAGGTCCTGGTTCCTCTGGAGTCTTCCTACTTTGCCCCCAAAGGAATCAGGCAGGTTGCTGGCAGCCCCGGGTCACCAGCAGAGGAGGAGGAGGGGAGGGTGGAGGCAGGAGGAGGGGTTCCCGTGCTGCCTTCTGGGGAGTGCTCTGGTAGACATGGCCTCTCAAAGCCATGCCCGAGTGCTTCCAGGGTTCCCAGAGAGGGAGCCCAGGCGCCCGCGGGGGTTCGCGGGGCTCCTAGAGCACAGCCGACTGCTGGTTGTCCCTCAATCTCTGTTCTTTCCTCTATGACAACAGAACCCCGATTTACAAAAAAAAAGAGCATCGGCTGAATTTATTTGGCATCACCAGCAGTGTCTTCATGCTGCCGAACAGACACACACACACAGCACATCGCCACGCTGAGCCCAGGCGGTCCTTCCGAGGCTCACTTGTACGTCTTCATGTGCCACAGCCCGTCATTCAGGTAGTGGATGTTTTCGATGCCGATCCCTTTGTTGACTCTGCCGACGTCCTCCGCAGACAGCCGCATGACCCCGACACACAGAGCGTGCTGCTTCCCTTCCGCCATGACCGCGACGATGGTGTCCGCGGCCGCGGGGCAGAGCCTGGCTCCAGGGGAAGTCAGCCCCGGACACATAATGTTTGCTCCGCTGAGTACAAACTTGATGGCTCCTTTATCAACCTGCTGGTGTGGCAGGATGAAAGGATATTTGTGAAGTAATCTCAAGGTTGGATAAAAAGGCCCCTTTCTTTGTCTAAAAAACAGCAATTCTCCATTTACTGAAAGGATTTCCGTATGTTCATGGCATCGGACTATTCTAACAGGATCTTTCTTGGGCACGATTTGATTAAGCCACGGCTCAATACCTGGAAACTGCTCTATCAGTTGGTTCTTAATACCCTTAATGACCGAAGTTTTCAACTGGATACAGTTGGACACGTTCTCCTTCTCATCAAATTTCTTGAACATGTTTCAAGGCAGACGTGGCGGTGGCAGCGAAGGGCCGGCAACAGGAAGGAAATCGTATGGGCAAGGGTCTGGCAGATGCCCTTACCCGCAGACGGACGGCACCACCGGCCGGTCGCAGCCGTTGTCGCTAACCGGAAGGCGACACGACAGCCACGCTTTACGGCTCCGCAAAACGTGACCACTTCCGCTCCTCCTACCCGAGTCGGCGCGTTGCGGGTTCCTCGGATCACCGACTCCGCCTCAGTGGCGGTGGCGGAAAGGGCGGGACTTGGGCAGGAAGAAGTGATCACGCGGTCCTTTCCAGCTGGAGGGAGAACGCAGGGGGCGTACCCGGAGGATTTCTGACTGGACATACGCCGACTGGCTTCCGGACACTTTTACTTCCCATGTAGCTACACAGGCCTTTGATGCGGATGCTTTTTTCCCCATCTGGCTGGTCTGAAGGGTGACGGTCGGCATCCCGGCCTGGGGACCAGCCCTAAATATGGCGGAACACGAGACAGACGGGGCCCGGGAACCTTTAGACTCTAATCGTGCAAATTTCACCTTTTTAAAAAACCGGTCACAGATGCATTTAGGGAAGCAGAAAGGAGTCGCGTCAAGTTGCTGCTCTCTAGGGACAAGGCGGAAGGTACTAGACCCGAGTAGACACTGGCACATTTCAGGAGCTTAGACTGTGACACACGACCAAGCGTCTTCTGATTATCTTGCCACTGCATCCGAACCCGTACCCTAAGTAACCTGCGAACCCCAGGATCCTCTCAGTTCCCTACAATTTTCACTAACAAAGCTGTGGCACCCTTTTCTTCCAATCTTCGGTGGGACAGTAATGGTACTAAAATGAGACCCAACAGACCAGAGCGCGGGCACCGTTCGCTGTGATCAGACACGCGGTGTGCTGACGGCTCTCCTTTTATCATCTGCCCACAGTCCCAACAATGTGCCTGTGAAGGAGGTACTGGATCACCAATTTCATTTCACAGATGAAAAATAACCCCAAAACCCAAGTGCTCAGAGAGGCAGGCGCCATCCACCCAGAGTCCCGTGTCGAGGTAATACCTCTTCCATCACTAGCTCTCCGGGAGAAGCCAACACCGAAGAACCAAAGGGGAACTGAGGTGGAGACACCCAGGCAGACCACAGGGAAGTGGGCGGCACTGACCTTCCTTGTTCTCCCCAGAACCCTGTGTGAAGAGCAGCTGGTACTGTCGATTTGGAAAGTTGGCTGGAAAAAACTTATTCATGAAGGGGCTGGAAGGAAAGACAAAGCAGGTCGGCAAACAGAGCCCCCACGGCCGGTCCCAGCCCTCGCCCTCCTCTCCCTCTGGCAGCTGTTACTGCCCGGCACCCTCACAGCTGCTCTGATGGGTGAGTGCTGGCGCTCCCACTCTACAGGCGTGCAAACAGAGGCCTCCAAGATGAGCCGACTCGCCCAAGGCCACACGGGGAGCCGGCATCCCAGCTCAGGGTCCAAGTCTCTGGACTCCTAGTGATTTATGTGGCGACACCAAAGAAATGCAAAGCAGTGGCAGATAGCCTTTCACATAAGGCAGTTTAAGGGAGAGTGACAGATTGGGAACACGGACTGCTTGTACTACCTGTCCCTTGTCAAGAAGCAGAGTCCTGGACCGCCCCCTCCCACACCACATCACTTTGTTCTCAAGTGACAGGCCTGAGATTTCATGAAGCACAGCCCCCACAGCAGGAACACCCTCATTCACCCTTCCACCAGGCCGCTGCTCAGGACTGGCTTGCCCTTGCTTCTAGAAGCAGTCTCTCTGAGCCCCTCCAGGCCCCACTTCCTGGCCAGGTAGGGAATGGAGATTTTTTTCCTTCCTGGAGTATCTTCAAAGCAACACTAGCAAATCAAGGCCCCTCAGCCTAGTCTGGTCCTAAGGGGTGGCAGTAGGCTCCTTGTGGCCCAGCCCTGCTCTGCCACACACCAGCCATGTGGCTTTGGGAGAGAACTCTTCAGTGACTTGGTGTCTTCACCCGTTTATTGGGATAATAATACCACCCATCTCAAAGCATTGCTTCGAAGATAGGAGGCAGGGCAGCTGAGATGGCTAGCTCAGCCCAGGGCCTGCAGCAGGGAGGTAAGAGCTGTGAGCTTCTGTCACCATGGTGTACTCCTCGAGTCTCAGTCCGAAAGCATTTGACATCAGAGCAGACTAGTGCTGACTGATTAGACAGGCAAATCCAAGAACAGCCATCTCAACAAACAGGAAATGGAGGCAGGCCAGAGGTACCCAGGCCCCAGTGGTAAAGCAAGGAGAGGCTTGGAGAAAGACGTGGATTCAGCAGTCATCTCTGGGTCTGCTTCCTCAGTTGTAAAGCAGCCGGTTCCTCCCAGGTGGCAAGGCCGTGCTGTGCATGACGAGAGGCCTTCTGAGCAGGTGGTGGCACAAAGATGGACCCAGGAGAGGGCTTCCACAGCAGGGCTCCAGGGAGGCAGGAGGCAGGTTCACGGCTAGAAGATGCTGGAAGCTACTATGAGCTCAGTTTTCTAAATGATTTCTTGGGGAGTCTGAAGCCACTGAATGTGTGCAGGTATGGGAAGAGGCCCAGAGGTGGCTGGGGAACTGCGAAAACCCTCACTAGCAAAGTTTGATGGGTAATAATGTGCATTCTGGAGCCAGATTTCCTGGCTCTGCCACTTACTAGAGGTGTGACCTTGGGAAAGTTAGTTAACTGCTCTGTGCTACACTTTCCTCATTAGGAACATGACAACAGAGTTTTTTCTAGAGGGTTATCAAGAGGGTAGGTGGGTGACCGGCTCCCTGTGAGCTTAACTGTGGCTTCAACTTCAAATAGGAAGTCTCTGGACCATCGTCTTCGTTCCTCTGAGAAGAAGCGCTGTATGACAAAGGGGTCACATTCGAGTGAGCTGGCCTCTATCTTGAGGGTAAGCTTGAGGGTGGTGGTCCTTGGCACCATCTTTATCCAACCCATAAGCCTGGTGCCTGGGAGCTAACACCGCTGGAGGCACTTGCGTAGCAGGCAGAATCTTCCTGATTCCTGGGACTCACAGCAAACCTAAGGGTCATGGTGTCCCGTTGAGAACCACGTCCTGGTGCCCTTCTCCCCTGGGGAGGAAGGTCGGGTCAGTGGAACTGGTGATGCGGCTTCCTCCTCCTGTGGTGGCAGATTTGGGCCTTCTGGGCCTTTGGTCCTCTAAGTCATCTGGGTGGGTCCCGGTGGCAGGGACGTCTGGCATTTGGGCTTGAGTCATGGTGACTGCAAGTGGTGAAGGCAGACTGCAGCCCCTGTCCTTCCTAACACCCCATGCTGTGGTTTGTTCCTGAAGAGGCTTGAGGTGGGCTGGGGGATGGTTGTGGAGTTCACAGGGATCCCAAGAGAACCTCAGCCTGGGCTGAGCTGGCTCGGGGCACAGCCTGTCATGGCTTTTTGGCAGGCCTCTCCTCTGCCAATTTTTGGGAACCAGCAGCCAGCCTGCATTCCCTGAGCTCTTCTTTTCCCTTCATTTAGGGCCAAACTGGGAAGAACACAGGTTTTGGGCTCAAAATCTGATTCCACCCTTAGCAGCTGTGGATCCTGCTGGTCGCATGACCCACCTGAGCCTCAACTTCCCTGTATTAAGCCTTTGGACTTTGTTGTTTGGATACAGAGGATAGTGTGGACACAAATAGTTTATCGAAATTTGAGCGACACTGTAGACTTTCTTTGAGAAAAGTATTGGAGAAAACTCAACTTAAATTAATAAAAGTCAATTTAATTCTTGGACCAACACTTTAAAAAAAAAACATGATTAAATTACAACCCACCCCTTTTACTGAAGTTATTTTCAATGGATTCAGTTGTTTTCCATGTAAACTATACATGAACAACTTCACTCATCTGCCAGTTTTCCTCTCTGATCAAATTTTTCGGTCAACCTCTCTGACCTCGTAGGGTGAGTGTCCCTTCTGCCCATGGCCATCCATTATTTTTATAATGTCCAGTTTTTCCAGGTCAAATTTAGTTGCTCTAAATTTTATTAAGAAAGTGATTCTTCTGTTAGTTTCAAGTCATTAATAGATTGTACCATATGCAATTTTAGCTGCTGTTGGTTTTATTTTCTGTTGATAATATCTATAATTAAAAACCTGAATTGGTTAAGACAGAAAGACGACTGTTTCCTGGCTAATCTGTAATAAATCTGGGACAGTGTCTCTCAGTTCTTATTTAAACGGAAAGGACAATGTCTTTGGCGTCAGAACGGCAGAGGTTCAAAGCCCACTGCCTGTGCAGCCGGACAGGGAGATGTCTGCTGCAGTGCTGCTGAGATGAAGTGAAATGACCAGGCCCCAGCCCACGGCCTACAGTGGCTTCTGTCACTACGAGGTGGAGGCTGGGCTGTGGGGGGAAGAGGAGGTCCCAATCCTCTCAGAGATGCTGGGGTAGGGAGGGCTAGAGTTGGCGGGAGGGGACCCAATGACTAGAAGCGACTATCCCTCTGCTCCTGGGTCAGTCATAAAAGAAGTCCATCTTGGCCGGCGCTGTGGCTCAACAGGCTAATCCTCCGCCTTGTGGCGCTGGCACACCAGGTTCTAGTCCCTGTCAGGGCACCAGATTCTGTCCCGGTTGCCCCTCTTCCAGGCCAGCTCTCTGCTATGGCCCAGGAGTGCAGTGGAGGATGGCCCAAGTGCTTGGGCCCTGCACCCCATGGGAGACCAGGAGAAGCACTCCTGGCTTCGGATCAATGTGATGCACCCGCCGTGGCGGCCATTGGGGGGTGAACCAACGGCAAAAGGAAGACCTTTCTCTCTGTCTCTCTCACTGTCCACTCTGCCTGTCAAAAGTAAAAAAAAAAAAAAAAAAAAGTCCCTCTTGCCAGCAAGGATGCCTGGGTCAGCACTACATTAATGGTTCAAGTCACTTGAGGTTTGCTGGCTCTTTTTACCAAATTTTCAATTAACATGTAATGCATATACGTTTCTATGAGATACAGTGCCTACTTCATATCAGCATTTCCATCTGTTTATCCCTCCTTCACGCCTGGCTGCCCGGCACCTATCACACACTTGTACCCTGCAGCGGGCCCACTGTGCTGGAAACTCCACAACGGCTTCTCTCTGTCTTGGAACCATTATTCAACCTCCCCTTCTCCTCCCTCCACTCTCCCGGGTCTTCATTTTTCAGGATGGGGGCTACAGCCATAATTCTCTGAAAGTGGCTAGAAGATCCTGTGGGTAAAGGGTCAGTTCAGGTCAACACGACACTAGGGTTGGCTGAAACACCAGAGCTGAAGTCCCCACAGTGTAACCGCGGACCAGCCACTCAGCTGGCTGCACTCTGGCCCTGTGCTCCAGGTGCACTGTGGACAGCGGCTCAGTCGATGCTGCCTCTACCCTGTAACCTCTCCATTTTAGACATGGTCAAACTGGTGCTCTGAGAGCCTGGTAACTTACACTTAACTTGGTCCCAGGCTGTCTGTGTCTCGAGCTCATGGTCTGACTACGCCTGGCTGTGCCACAGTGCCTAGAGATGAAGCCACACCAACCTTGGCCTTCCCTGAGTAGATCCTGTGCTTTCTCTTTAGCTTTTACCTTGAATGCTCGGGGAAGATCCTGACTGTACCTCAGTGCTCACACACCTTCCAGCGCCTGGCCTGTCCTGTCCTGGCCTGTCCTGTCCTTCTTCCAGGCTTCCTACTCTTCAAAGGCCAGTTCCAGCCGTTTTACTCTGGGTAGCTGCTCTGCTCTGCTGACCACTCGGTCTATCAGCGGCTCTACTACCTCAACCGGCAGACAGAAACATGCTGGGCATCTCTGTGTGACGCCATGAACTCGAAGGGCTTGGGGCTACACTGCAGGTGACGAGGCCAGGCCGCCAGATGTCTGTAGTGCATGGGGCAGTCCTGCACAGTGCAGAGCCAGCTTGTCCAAACTGCCAAAGACAGCCCCGCAGCACAATGGCCTGGGCCACTCCTCTCCTTTGAATGAGCACCCGGCAATCTGAGCAGGTTGCAATGGGAGGAGACAGGCTCTGGGCTACATACTGCAGTGTGAACCCTGGCTCTGTTACTCACCAGCTGTGTGATTCTAGCCAATTTCTCAGCCTCTCTGAGCTTCAATTTTCCCGAGTGTAACACCGGACCAAACGCAAAGGTTGACCCCTAAGGTTGTCCAGCAAGTTAACAAAGATAAACAGAAT